TCGCACCTGTACGGGACGCCGCATGGGTGCGAGAGAGACAGAGCGACCAGACCGTCGGAAAAGACCCTCGGAATCAGTTGGCTGGGCTGGCGGCGCGCTCTGAGCACGCCCTCTGATTCCGACTGGGATGTCTCTGTCACTCTCTCGCTTCCCCCGTGAGTGCGAGAGAGAGAGAGAGAGAGAGAGAGAGAGAGACAGAGAGACAGAGACAGAGAGAGAGACAGAGACAGAGAGAGAGACAGAGAGACAGAGAGAGACAGAGAGAGAGAGACCTCCCACTCGGGATCCGTCTGCTGGGAGCCCGTCCAGGTTCGTGAATGGCCCTGTGAATGGGCGGCAACGGGCCGCCAAAGCCAAGCCAAGCCTCGGCCAAGCCGTGCCACAGGGTCCACGTCCACGTCCTCGGCAGACTGATGCCGAGGTTCGTCTTCGTCGCTCTGTCTCTCTCGCACCCAAACAGGACGCCCCATGAGTGCGAGAGAGACAGAGCGACGGAGACGAACCTCTGAACCACTCCGCAGGGAGCGCAATGGTGCCGGTGGTCCTGGGACACACGGACACCGGGACTCCGCACCATGGGACCATGGCACCATGACACCATGGCACCATGGCCCCATTGCTGCGTTGGTTCGCAGTGTCCTTGACACGCCCATGCAGCCCATGGTGCCGCGGCGCAGCTGATGGTACCGATGCACCGCGGTCCGGACGGCCGTCCTGGTCGTGCATGGTCGCCGCTGGTCACCATGGCGACCGTGGTTGCGCTGGCTGGCTTGCCGCGCCCCGGCTTGTGATAGGAACGGATGGTGCGCTCCGCTCCGTGGCCCCTTCGCCTTCCCACATCGATTTGTGCCCCCCCCCCTCCTCCCCCTCCCCTCCCGCCAGCCCGCGGCCCAGCGCCGCCGCCCCCTCCCTCCCCCTCCCCTCCGTTGCCACCTTCCGCCCCAAAGTAAGTAAGGAAGGAACGGTCATCTGGATCAGAAGACTGATTCCGAGAGTCGTCGCCGCCTCCCTCGCACCGCACCTGCACGGGACGCCCCGTGAGTGCGAGAGAGACAGAGCGACGGAAACGACTCTCAGTTTGCATTGGTGCTCCACGCCGGACCGGCAGGGATGCAGGTGGCAACCTGCGACGAAAAGCGCCGAGTGGAAACCCTAGCAGCGTTTCCACGCCCTGGCATTTTCCGGTCCATCCGGCTGGTTCCGGTTCCGGTTCCGGTCGCGTGGATGCAGCGACTGACCTTGGGGTGGGCCAGTGCCACTGTAAGGGAGTTGAGTTGAGCCACTGATAAAGGTCGGCAAGGCATCACGGAAAAAAGGAATTCGTTGACCCAACGAAAACGTGCGTTGATTCCGTGATAACCGAAAAAATTTGTTGGAGTTACGAAAACTTTGTTTGAGTAACGAAATTTTTGTTGGCAAAACTAACAATCTTTTAGCGCAACCAAAAGATTCGTCAAAGGAACAAAGTCATGATTTTTTTTGTCACTCCAACTAACTTTTTTGCTCCACCAACGAATTGTTCGTCATACCAACAAATTATTCGTTACGTGAACAAACTTTTCGTTACTCAAACAAATTTTTTTCGGTTATCACGGAATCAACGAACATTTTCGTTGGGTCAACGAATTCCTTTTTTCCGTGATTATTTGAGGGGGAATCGGCCGCTACTTTGTTGTGTTTGTTTTTCCTATTTGGCGGCGAAATAATCAGCGGACTGGTCTATGCGGCCTGACCTCCCGGCCCCAGCAGGCCCCTCTCGCTTTAGCCTCTGCAGACCGACTCCGAGAGTCGTTTTCGTCGCTCTGTCTCTCTGACACTCCTATAGGGCGCCCCTTGCAGTTGCGAGAGAGACGGAGCGACGAAAACGACTCTCGGAATCAGTCCACTGGCTCGGCTCTGGGCCTTATGCTGACGCTCTATGGCTTCGTCCGCAGGCTATCAACAGTTTTGACACCTCCCTCGGCTGCGAGAAGCTGCTAGGGATTCTGAAAATTTAAAACACCCCGCCAAGCGACGCCACGCGCTCGAGCGATTCGACGGCTCGGTCCGTGATGCCGCACTTTATGACGTACTTGGTCAAAAAATAGACCAATCGAACCGAAAATTATTTTTGCCGCGTCAGTTCATTGCCGCCCTCCATTCAAAATGTGGCGCGCCACACATACTGAGAGCCTAGAGTAAATTTCTCATACCGTTTACGAACGCTGGCCGAGACTCGGATTCACATTCGCGTTCGCGTTGCAGCCGCCAAGCAGACGAACCGAGAACAACAAGACATAACCAACTCTCTGAGTTACTCAGCAGCTGAACTTTCGGTGTTCTCCAGTTTCAAGGCCTCGCAACCTATTTCCAAAGTGCAGGCATGGCTAGCATCTGGCTACTTGTTCCCCTGTTGTCGGCGGCCACCGCGTGGATGTACTTTTTGACGCTCATCGCGCCCTCCGTTCCCTCAGAGAAGGTGAGCTGCAGTTGCACTGTCAGTCAGAAATGCTCTTGGAAAGGCTTTACCGCCGATGATGTTGGCAGAAAACTTCCCCCACAAATAGGAAACATTGTTGTGATGTGCGTTCTCTATTAGTGGATCAAATATAATGTGACTTTAAAAGTTATCGAGTCTTGTATGAATGAAGAGCTCTTTTGCGCTTCACTACTTTGTGACATTCAATGATCTAATCATGTCCATGGCAGTATTGTCCTATTTCTTTATGTATCTTTGAACCATCCTTATTCCTTACAGACGAACACCACTTTAAAGTTTCCGGGCAATCTTGAGGAGCTCCAAGGTATTGCTCAACTCATTCGAATGTACTACGAAGTGAACTGGATTTACGTACTTGTTTTGTACAGTAGCGCATATATCTACAAGCAGACATTTGCTATTCCAGGGACTGTTTTTTTGGTAAGTGATTTCTACCTATGTATATTTTTAGTTCAATTACATTTATTGCACTAACATTATTCTTTGCTTGGTGGCCTTTCAGAATGTTCTTGGAGGAGCTTTATTTGGAGTTGTTGTCGGATTCCCACTCTGCTGTTTCCTCACTGCCACAGGAGCATCATGTTGTTACCTTCTATCAGCAGCCTGTGGTCAAGACATTGTGCAGAAATATTTTCCGAATCAATTGAAGAATTTTCAAGATAAGGTAGCCATTTTGATTGAGTTATCGCAGTGAAAGTTATTATTTACTCTTGAACTATCTATTAATCTCTCTCTCTCTGCTTTTAACAGGTTCAAAGAAACTCACACCAACTTCTGTACTATCTGCTCTTTCTTCGAATGTTTCCCATGAGTCCAAACTGGCTGATCAATGTGATTGCCCCATTGGTTGGTGTTCCTCTTCCATTGTTCTTCTTCACTGTTTTATTTGGTAAGTTTAATTTTTAAATAAATACTGATTCTTTTTTTTTCAATTTGTTTGTTGCTTTGAGGTTGCTTTATGTTTCTAACACTAACATATTTAATGGGCTTAGTCATTTTAGTCGAATAGTTCAATGTCATAGCTCTAACACTGTTTTAGACGGGTTTTAGTGTTGTGTTAATATGCCTCAATGATGAATGATTGAAATCAATTATCTGGTTTTGAAGGTCTTGGCCCATACGTACTTGTCTGCACACAAGCAGGAGTCATCTTATCAACCCTGACATCATTAGAACAACTTTTCTCAGTGAAGACAGCCCTACAAATGGCACTGCTGGCACTGGCCGCATTAACACCTTCCTTCGTTTTCAGGAAAACACAGACTGTAAATTAAGAACAGAGTAGTGCATGTTTTCGAAACAACATTTAACTTTTAATGTCTCAATTTGTTAATTTTTTTGTGTGTGTGTGTTTGTTTTGTTTAGGGTTACATTTAATTAGTTGTACAGATATAAAAGTTACTTTCTTACTTGTTAATATACTGGTTTTGAAATTTAATTGGGTATTGTATGTTATATGTTATTTTTTTTAACTGTCACTAATTTTATGTTGTTGGTTGTTGGGTTTGTTTTGTTTAAATGTGTAAGGCTGTTGAGACTAAATAGTTTATTTAGCTTTTGTTTTTGTGTATATGACTAATGAAGGAATGTACATATATAGATATTTAAATCAAGGTAACATTTGTTATTCAAAATATACAGTGATAAGATTTGCAATAGAGACCAATACTGTTATTTTTATACTTTTTTCTGGAAGAATTTAACATTCTTCATACTTAATTAATGATTGTAGGTTTGAAAGTGACCCAGAAATTTTTCTGAGGTACTACTTCGAAAGAGCTTGTTCTTCCTTGATCAAATCGCGCAGTCTCATCATTCCCTGAAAATCAATTTTTCCATTAGCTTTCAGAAAGTTTCAGTGGTTATTTCTTTTGACTTTCTCATTTACCAGATCGATATCATCCTTTGTTGCTAAACTGAACGCTGCTCTGATATAAGGACTGGGTTTAGAGGGATCAACATCGAAACACCGTCCAGGCACAAGGATGATTTGCTTTCCTAATCCTCGTGTCATGACCATTTCATTAGTGTCAGTCACTCCATTGCATTTTATCCACAAGAACATTCCCCCTGTTGGGACGTTCCATTCAGCCAGACCTGCAAGAGAATAGCATATTTTTAAGCAATTGGTATTCCCACAACAAAACTCATTAGTCTTTTATGATATTTATTGCCTGTTTGGCTATCAGACAATGATTCTTGTGAAACCTTTTAAGTATTTATTAGCTGCTTCCAACATGGCGTCCCTGCGCTCCTTGTAGAATTCACGCACATTCTTGTAGTGTTGCTGTAATTTGTTGTCGCCCCATCTTTGTAATAGCTGGTGTGCTAGTACCTGTGAATCACAATGAAATTGCAGTCTTAGACCATACCGACAGCAGCACCAAGATAGAATGCTATGGCCTGCTGACTGTAGTTACTTGTGACAGAGAGGAAGTTTGTAGGGTAGTTGATTGCATGTGCAGTTCAATTTGGCGGAGCAGACTTTGTGGTCCTGTCACCACACCCAAACGAAGCCCAGAACTCAATACTTTTGAAAATGAGTCAAATCGTATGACTCTGCCATCAGTGTCCAATGATAGTAAACTTACTGGGGTGGCCTGTAAAAGATATAACAATGTATTTTTTTAATTTGTTGAATGCTGTTTTTATACTGGAGTTTGAATTTTGAATCTATTTTACACTTACCTCTAAGAAATGCAACTGATAGTATGCATCGTCTTCCAAAATAATCATGTCATATTCTTGTGCCAGCTTGTAAAGCTGTTTTTTGCGTTCAGTTGTCAGTGTTGTTCCTGTTGGGTTTGCTCCTGTTGGATTCAGATACATTACCTGAAATCAGGCAAAATCAAATATTGAAGTCAGTAATTCATAGATTTTTGTATTTTCCCCCCTATTTTTTTCCCCCTTTTCTCCCTACCTTTGGCATTTTCCCCCCTGTTTTCTTGTAATTTTCTAGAGCACTTCTTAACCATTCAGGGTTGACTCCATCCTGGTCTTGTTCAGCGAGAATGTACTTTGGCCCATAGGGCTTGAGCTGAAAATCCACCAGAAATATCTCATTGTAACAAAGTTCATTTCTTTCATCCCAGTAATACTGCCGCATGCTAATTTACCAAAGTTTCTACTCCACTATACAATGGGTGTTGCATAACTAAGGGATCACCTCTATTTATGAGCATGTCCACAGCTCTTGAAATGCCATCCATGCTTCCTGATGATACTATGATGCTCCTTGTATTCCAGTCCTGTGGTCCATGTGCCTTATCTTGAAAGTTTTGGAGGAGCCCAATAAAATCTTTGTAACTGCAGAGAAATTTTTCAATACAGTAGCAGCGGACTTCCAAATTGTAAATATTTTGAATGTTTACCAGATAATTATAATTTACCCTGTTGTTGGTAGATACTGCAGTGCACTCTCTAATTCTTTCCCATTTACTGAAAATTCCTCCCCATTTTTTAATGACACTTTGATCTCTGCAAAGGGAAATGAGGAAGGATTTGGCATTCCAGTTGAGAAAGAAATTGTTTCTTTCGGTGCAGCGAAAACGATTTTAGCTGCAGGAGGAAAAGATGTCAGTAAACTGTTCCAAAGCCATTGTGATAAAATTATTTGTAAACTGTTGCTTGTTCTATATATTTTCTCACCCCTCATGCTCACTTACTTAACTCCCTCAGAGCTGATGGCTCCCTACGTTTGGACACCTCTGAGAGGAAGGCGTTGTAGTCCATTTTCGGGCCTGAGGAAGACGACAACTGTTTGGGTGACGCACAGCAGTAGAGCCGAGTTAAAGAATAGCTTGCACGTTTAGAAGTCCACATATCGTTGCAACAAAAATTAGATTGGGAACTTTGTTTTCAAATAGTAATGCTTACAACAGGCCGGGCTATATGCCTCTGTCAAGTCAATGGGACCTGTGAAATCTTCCCCACCCTACTTCGCAATAATGCCTTTTTCTGCAACAGCGTCCAATGTAGCTGTTTGTCCCGGCGTTCACTGATAAACCTGATAAAGGGACCGGGGGCGTGGGAGGAGGGGGAGAGGGAAGGTTAAACTCATTGAGGCGCTTTAACACCGAGCATTCTGTTGCCAACCATCCGACACAAAAACGCATCAACCTGGCTGACGCGTTGACTGTACTCATGCTTCGTACCTCATCGAACGATGGTTCTAATAAATATCACCAATAAGGAAACTTAAATTCGTCTGTCGTACTCGAACTGTGCCCTCGCGTAGACTTTCTCGCGCAGCCTCGCCTCGCTTTTCAGCTTTCTCATGTTGGCAGCGGCCGGACCCGCATTAAGGGAGAGGCAGGACGAAAGGAAGGAACAAGGGAGGGGAGAGGAGGAGAAGAGAGAAGTGGAAAGAGGGAAAAGAAGAAACAGACGCTCAGTAGAGAGAAGAGGGAGGAAGGGCGTGAGCAAGTGTCTGCTCGCCTGGCGCATTTTCCACGGTGTTTGTGAGTGATCCTGGGACTATCCCAACCAGCAGCAAGCGCTGCAAGCGCCGGTCGCAACTTTCCGGGGCCGCGCCCAAAGCTAAGCCGCGGCTTTTCGGCAAGTTTCGCACGCAGGGCTACGCGCTGCGCTGCGCGTCCAGTCAGTCCCGTCCAGCCCGGCGGCTTGGCTGTCAAGTTCGCGGCGGTGTGGCGTCGCGCGGCGCGGGATGCCTGATGCTCCGCTTTGCGTTCGCGCCAACGCTGTTGAGATAGTCCCGTTCCCGTTGCGCTTGCGGGGCTCGCGGCCCCAAAGTCGCGCTTTTCCGACGAAAGCAGTGTGCCGGCCGTGTCCTGGAGCTGGAAGCGTGTGTGCTGTGCGACGCCCTAGCGCTGGAAATGGTGCCCTCGGCGGCCCCGGCCCGACTTGAGCGCTTTCGGCGTCGCCTTCTCGACTCGGACGTCCTTCGTCCTTTGTGTTTGGGGTTTGGCCCGAGGCATTCTCCAGCAGGGCTCGTTTCGCTGCAACTCGTTCGTATTCTTCCTTGTTTCTCTCATTGCCCCCGCCTAAGACCAGGGTTCATTTCCACTATTTGCGCCTTGGAGGTGTTTGCAAATTTCTTTTGTTTTCAGGGAGAGGTCCTTGCCTCTAACCTCATAATTGTGGAACTTTTCCTGTGTTTTCTCCAGGCTTGTAATTTACAGGCCTTTCCTTCTGGAAAGTACATTCATGATGTACCCTGTAGAACTCGGGCTTTTGTGATTTTATCAGAAGCTCAAGTTTACAGGTATCTGGTGAATGGAAATTCAACAGTTTGGCGTTTTGTCCATCGTTGGCCTGAGACAGCTGTAAAAAAAGGTGCGCTGTGAAGTACCCTGTCAGTCCGGGCTTTCGTGCTCTTACTTCGAAAGTTCAACTAGACAGGTCCTTTACGGAACACCAAGTCTGCCATATTCTCTCATCAGCCAAAGTTTCCAGCTTCGACTGAGTGGCGAAGCAGGTTCACTGCATCATCTGCCCTTTTTCGACTCAACTCCGAGCACGCTGGGGATAATTCCGCTGTAAACCAACCAGCAATATGGTATGGTGCTGTGCTGTGCGATTTGAACCTTCGAAAAAATCTTCGTCACATTTTCCTCACACAGATTGCTCTCTGCATGAAAATACGCAATATTTTTAGCACATGATCCTCGTGCTCCATTGTCCTCCCCACTTTCAGCCTCTAATCATTAAAACTGTTCCCCTTGCCTCTCCACCTCCCCTTTCACCCCGGCCTCCCTTTCCCTTCCCTTCCCCTCTTGAGAGCATGTAGGGGAGAAGGGAGTCTGCGGGCTGATTCCGAGAGTCGTTTTCGTCGCTCTGTCCCTCTCGCACCTATACGGGACGCCCCATGAGTGCGAGAGGGACAGCGCGACGAAAGCGACTCTCGGAATCAGTCGGCTGGTTTGAGCTGGACGGACGCCGGGGAAGGGAGGGGGGGGGGGGCTGAATCATAAAATGTGTGGCTCCAGATGCTGCCGCGATAGTGCGTAAAACCGACTCCAGGCTCGGAGTGTTTGAACTCGCGGCCAGGGAGGAGTTGCTCTGAACTCGGAATTCGAGGGCCAAGCGCAGCTGGCATCGTGAAACGAATCCAATTTCAGTGCCATTGCCAAGGAAAGACTTTTTCCGCCGTGGCGCTCCCGAAAAAGGGTCGCTACCCAAATCTGTAACTTCTACTCCCTCAAAACTTTATTTTAAGTTAGTTTTTTTTTTTTCAGGTAATTTAATTTTTGACTGCACCCGATGGGCCGCCTGAAATCCCTGACCACGCGCACGCCGCCGTCTGCCGTGACCAACGCGGCGCGCCGAGGTTTACCCCTTGACTGAAGCGAGGCGGGGCGGGGCACAGTGGGCCAGAAGACCGGTGGAGGCGGCCAAAACTCTAGACGCGTTTTGAGCTCCAGAGTCGCTAAATGGCACTCGGACCGAACGTGTGACCCCACCAATGGATTGCTCTCCGAACGAGGAATCCATTGGTGGGGTCGCACGTTCTTCGAGTCCTGTTTAGCGATTCTGGAGCTCAAAACACGTCTAGAGTTTTGGCCGCCTCCACCGGTCTTCTGGCCCACTGTGCGGGGCCGGCGCAGTGGCGTGCACAGCAGACTGATTCCGAGAGTCGTTTTCGTCTCTCTCGCACCCATACGGGACCCCCCTTGAGTGCGAGGGAGACAGAGCGGCGAAAACGGTTTTGGGAATCGGTCTGCTGGCGGGAGGGCGGAAGGCAAGGTCACTTTTCGGGGAAAATATCGCCTAACTTTCTAAGGAGCGACCAATTGCACCGAAATGTGTACTTTTTTTTAGGTATTAGGGGAGGGTGTGCCCCCTTGGCCTCCCCCATGAGGACACCAGTGGCCAGCCGCGCAGTGGGCCAGAAGACCGGGGGAGGCGGCCAAAACTCTAGACGCGTTTTGAGCTCGGGAGTCGCCAAACGGTACTCGAACCGAACGTATGTGACCCCACCAATGGATTCTTCGTTCGGAGAGCAATCCATTGGTCGGGTCACTCGTTCGGTTCGAGTCCTAGCAAGTCTGGCGCTCAAAACGCGTCTAGAGTTTTGGCTGCCTGCGCCGGTCTTCTGGCCAATCCACTGGGCGCTGCCGGCTTAGGGACGCGCCCCGGCCCGCCGAGGCCGGCCACGGCGTCCAGGGAGTGCCGAGGCCGCCGAGGCCGCCGCCGCTCACACCCCTTCGCCGCCGCGCCACCTCGCCGTCGCTACCCTTCGCTTCGCCGCTGCGCTCGTCGCCGCGTCGCCGCGCTGTCGCCGCCGCCACCCCTCGGCTTGCCTCCAGCCTTGCCCTTGCCGGCCTGGCCGAGGCACTCCGCGGCGGGGCGGGGCGCGGGACCAGCACACTGATTCCGAGAGTCGCTTTCGTCGCTCTGTCTCTCTCGCACTAGTGCGGCGTCCCGTATGAGTGCGGGAGAGACAGAGCGACGGAAACGACTCTCGGAATCAGTCTGCAGCGGGACGGCGGCGGAGTCCTGCATGCCGTCCAGCAGCGTCCAGCAGCACACTGATTGCGAGAGTCTTATTCGTCGCTCTGTCTCTCCCGCATCTTCGGGAAGGTCCATGAGTGCGAGAGAGACAGCGACGAAAACGACTCGCGGAATCAGTGCGCGGCACGACGGGCACGACACTGCCGGCCGAGGCCGAAAGACCACTCGGTGCGGAGAGGCCAGCGGGCTGTCACTCTCGCTCCCTTACGGGACGTCCCATGGGTGCGAGAAAGATAGCGTTGAGAGCGGTGCTCGGAACCCTCGGAATCAGTGTGCTGCACCCCGCAGTGGGCCAGAAGACCGGTGGAGGCGGCCAAAACTCCAGACGCGTTTTGAGCTCCAGGGCTCGAACCGAACGTGTGACCCCACCAATGGATTCCTCGTTCGGAGGGCAATCCATTGGTGGGGTCACACGTTCGGTTCGAGTCCCATTTAGCGACTCTGGAGCTCAAAACGCGTCTGGAGTTTTGGCCGCCTCCACCGGTCTTCTGGCCCACTGTGCGGAGGCCGTGCCGGAGCCCCGCGCCCTGCGCCGCGGCGGGTTGACATCGTTGACGAGGCTTGAGGCCCCCGAGGACGCAGCGGGAGCGCCACCCGCTTCGGCGCTGCGCGACGCACTGCCGCACTCTGCTTCTCGCCCTCGGACCGCTGAGTCGAGAGAGCGAGCGACGAAGCAGGCTCGGATCAACGGCTGGCCGCCTCAAGCAGCCGCCACAACGTGTGAAGTCTCACACTTCTGCTTGTCGCACTGCGTGACGACCCCCGCGGCCCGGCATTTGAATGCGCCATGCTTCTCGTCTCCGTATTGGCCGCGGCGCTATCGCGCTGGCTTTTGGAACGGGAGGTGGCGGGTTCGACTCCCCCGCGGTCCCCGTTTTCTTCCCTGACAACTTGTTCCGTTTTCGGCGAAGTTGACGCAGCAGCGCTCGGTGAAATTGGCGGACGTGCGGCGCAGGCGGCGCGCGCACTGCAGGATGATTCCGCGAGTCGTTTTCGTCGCTCTGTCTCTCTCGCACTCATGGGGCGTCCCGTGCGGGTGCGAGAGAGACAGTGACGAAAACGACTCTCGGAATCAGTCTGCTGCGTGCGTACTCCACTTGTGTGCGTTGCGTGTCGCGGCGCGGTTCGCCGTCGCGAAAGAGAGACGCAGGCTTGCCTGTCTCACTCTGGCTCCTCCTAGCTCCGCCGACCGGCAAATGGAGGTGAGTCGCTGTTTCTCTCGCACCCGCAGGGGACGCCCCGTGAGTGCGAGAGAGACGGTTCGGAATCAGCCTGCTCACAGGGCTGTGACGGGCCACAGTGGGCCAGAAGGCCGGTGGAGGCGGCCAAAACCCTAGACGCGTTTTGAGCTCCAGAGTCGCTAAATGGGACTCGAGCCGAACGTGTGACCCTACCAATGGACTCCTCGTTCGGAGAGCAATCCATTGGTGGGGTCACACGTTCGGTTCGAGTCCCATTTAGCGACTCTGCGGCTCAAAACGCGTCTGGAGTTTTGTCCGCCTCCACCGGTCTTCTGGCCCACTGTGCGGGACCAGGCGAAAGCATACAGAATGGCTGGCAAAGTAAGCTGTGCCACCGCCTCAATCAAGGACCAAAACACCACCCTCTCTCCCGGCCCCGGCCGAATCCCCCCCCCCCTCCAACACTTAAAAACATATCTTTCTGTGGCTGGAGGAAGGGAGGGACGACTCGAAAATCCTGGACTCCAGGACCCTGCCGCTGGAGTCCCGAGCGTCCCCAGCGCACTGTTGGCTGGCTGGACTATGCGGGCTCCCAGTTTCAAGTCTAATTACGTGCCACAAACTCGATGCATAATGCATGCGACTCGCCGTTTGCGTGTTTGTGTGTCAAATTTTGGCGCGCCGTCACTGGAAACTTTGGTGTACGACGAAGGTCCGTGTCCGTGGACAAACCACGCACAGTGGATTTGCCAGGACCGGCAGGCGGCCGAAACTCTAGACGCGTTTTGAGCTCCGGAGTCGCCAAATGGGACTCGTAAGGAACGTGTGACCCCACCAATGGATTGCTCTCCGAAAGAGGAATCCATTGGTGGGGTCACACGTTCGGTTCGAGTCCCATTTAGCGGCGCTGGAGCTAACGCGTCTAGAGTTTTGGCCGCCTCCACCGGGTCGTCTGGCCCACTGTGCTACGGTACTCTGTTGTACCCGACGGCCGGCCGCTTTTTGACACCCCCTCTCTTTCCACACGGGCGGCCCGAAAAAAGGTCCGGGCAAAAACGCCCTCGCGGGCGGCTTCCGGACACCGCCTTCGGCGCTCTGTCTCTCTCGCACCCACGGCGCGGCCCGTAGGTCCGTGGGGGTGCGAGAGAGACAGAGCGACGGTGGCGGCGCGGCGGGAGGGAAATCCCATCCCGCGGCGCCGCGGTCTAGACGCGGTCCGTGCGCCATGCGCGACGGCGGTTAGTGCACTGCGCCCCAGCGTCGAGAACACAGCCGGCACCGGCATGCGCCAGCAACCTAGTGCCTAGTGCAGCCTGGACTTCGGAGTAACTTCGCTGCTTCGGGGTGCAGCCGCCTCCACTCTACAAACTGAAGTGTGTACTCAGTACACTGCAAATCCGGTGGTAAGTTTACTTGCCACAAATTTGGTAAGCCGTTTTGAATGCCAAACTTTGGCAAGCTTTAGTCGGAAATCTTCATAAGCTTGCCAAATTTTGGCAAGCTTGGAGGAGGTGTTTCCGGGCCAAGCTTGCCAAAATTTGGCAAGCTTATGAAGATTTCCGACTAAAGCTTGCCAAAGTTTGGCATTCAAAACGGCTTACCAAATTTGTGGCAAGTAAACTTACCACCGGATTTGCAGTGTATGCATCTACAGATGCATACTTGCAAGTACACACCTACAGATGCATACTTGGATGAGTTAGGTATGCATCTGTAGGTGTGTACTTAGCCAAGTGTGCATCTGTAGATGTGTACTTGCAAGTATGCATCTGCAGACGCATACTGAGTAGACATTTCAGTTTGTAGAGCACCCTGCGTGCTGCTTGTTGTTGTTATTGTTGATTTTTCGGATCTCGGCCGGCCGGCCGCGTCGCGTGGCTGTCGTTGGTTTCGGACCGGTCGGTCTCGGCCGGTACTCGAACCCACGCCGCCAGGACACTTGCGACTCGAAGAAGCCGTGCATTGAATAGCATTGCAGTGTAGGGGCAAGGAGGAGGCGGACCTCCTGTATAGAGGATTGGCCGATCGCAGTGTAGCGGCGCAGCCACCCTCTTGGCCTGGAACGCCTGGAGAACCGTAGGTCTGCCGTCTCGTCCGCTGCGATCCAGTTCCGACTCTGCGACCAATTTTCAGCGCGAAAGCACTGCGAGATGGCGGCTCAGGTGAGTGCGAGAGAGAGAGAGAGAGAGAGAGAGAGAGATAGAGAGAGAGAGAGAGAGGCACGCTGCAGCCCCGGGCGTCGCCGTCGTGCACTCCCTGCAATCTGCGACCGCGGTGAGGTGATTACTGCTGAGAACCGCAGGCTGAATCCGAACAGCGCTCTCGTCGCTCTGTCTCTCTCGCACTCATGGGGCGTTGCGTATGGGCGCGAGAGAGGCAGAGCGACGAAGCGCTGTTTCGGAATTGCTCTGCTGTGTGGGGAACACCTCTTTCCTCGTCCTTGCCCTCGCCACTCTGTCTCTCTTACACTAACGGAGCGTCCCGTCTAGGTGCGAGAGAGACAGCGACGAAAACGACTCTCAGAATCAATCTGCTGCTGGCCGATGGGTGTCGTCGCCATCGCCAGTGCAGTGTCGAGGTGAAGGGGTGGCGACCGAAGCACAGTGGGCCAGAAGACAGCTGGAGGCGGTCAAAAAGCTAGACGCGTTTTGTGCTCCAGAGTCGCTAAACAGGACTCGAACCGAACGTATGACCCCACCAATGGTTTGCTCTCCGGACGAGCAATCCATTGGTGGGGTCACACGCTCGGTTCGAGTCCCATTCAGCGACTCTGGAGCTCGAAACGCGTCTAGAATTTTGGTCCCCTTCACAGGTCTTCTGACCCACTGTGCGAAGAAGCAACACTGTATTTGTGTCTACCGGCAAGACAAACAATTCTACTCAGGTGCACGTCTATACTAAGCCGGCCTCTGAGGCGGCGGCGCTGTCGTGCTCGCGTGCAGTCAGTGCATCTCTCACTGCCTGCTCCTCTGTCTCACTGCAATTACTACCCCCGTCCGTCTTTGTCTCGCAGGAGGACGATGACGCCCTCCACTGGCTGCGATCTCTCTGCGAAGAAGGCCGCTTCGTCCCGACGGACTGCGACTCCGACACCCCCGCCGGCAAGTCCACCATCGCGGGTCGTGGGTTCGAAACCGCGACCTGGTCTTCCCGTTTCTTGGAATCGATGTTGCACAGTGGGCCAGAAGACCGGTGGAGGCGGTCAAAACCCCGGACGCGGTTCCAGAGTCACTAAATGGGATTCGAACCGAATGTGTGATCCCACCAATGGATTGCTCTCCGAACGAGGAATCCATTGGGGGTCGCACGACCGGTTCGAGTCCCATTTAGCGACTCTGGAGCTCAAAACGCGTCTAGTGTTTCGGCCGCCGGCGCCGGGTCCTCGCTTACTCGCGTGGTAACACTGCGTCGAACGTCTTGGCTGCCCAGGCCCTCCGGATGGCTTCGACTCGGCCAAGTTCGCTCGCGGCCAGCGCGTCGCCATGGACAACATCTTCAGCCTGGCGTACGCCGAGCTCGTGTCCATGCTCATGATGTTCGCCTTCGAGGACCAGACGGTCGCCCTGCTGTCGACGGGCAAGTCGGACACGCCCTCCAAGGCGTACTTCAGGCCAGTAGAACAGCGGAACCGTCGCACAGTGGGCCAGAAGACCGGCGCCGGTGGCCAAAACTCTAGACGCGTTTTGAGCTCCAGAGTCGCTAAATGGGACTCGAAACGAACGTGTGACCCCACCAATGGATTGCTCTCCGAACGAGGAATCCATTGGTGGGGGTCACACGTTCAGTTCGAGTCCCATTTAGCGACGCTCGAGCTCAAAACGCGTCTAGAGTTTCGGCCGCCTCCACCGGTCTTCTGGCCCACTGTGGAGTGCAGCGGAGAAGTCGCGGTGGACTGCGAAACCGCGCTAAACGGCGAGGGGTGCCTTTGAACTCGCGAACCCTTTCCCCGCAGGTACTTGTCCACGATGCGGAGGGTCCGGTCGTGGTACGAGGGCGACATCTGGGACCCCAAGTCGGCCGCCTGCAAGAACATCAAGGTACCGCACTTGCTCTGACAGGACAATCGTTCTGTCTCTCTCGCACTCCGCACTCCAAGTTGCAGTGGCGTGCACAGAAATTTAAAAAAGGGGTGGGGGGGACATGGCGTGCTTTTAGCCTACGTACAGGGGAAATGTATCGCAGTTTGCCTTCCTTTCAGGCGGCTATCTACTGTCCAAAGAGGGGCGGTCATGATGACCCCCCCCCCCCCCCCAATTTGCGCACGTCACTGCCGAGTTCGTGGAGACCGAGGACCGCGACGGCATTTTCTATGACGATTGTGTCTAGACTGTCTTTTTCATCGCTCTGACTCTCTTGCACACGTGCGGCGTCCCGTAGAGACGCCAGAGAGACAGAGCGACGAAAACGACTCTCGGAATCAGTCTGCTCCTTCTGCCCTGCCCAGTCCGTCCGCGGCATGCATGACCTGGTGGCGCGGCGCCTGGCCGCCGACCCGACCAGCGCCACCTGCCCCAGCGGCCTCAGCCTCCACGTGCGCGCCAGCTGCCCCCTGGGCCCCGCCGACGGCCACGTCGCCGAGGACGCCGTCAGCCCGGCCCGCCCCTCGGCCCCCTCGAGCTGCGCGGCGGCGGCGAGGGAGGCGTTCGCTCCGTTTGGCGGTCACGACGGCCGAGGGGCGTCCGCCTGGGCCGCCGTCGACAGCGAGGAGCCCCCGGTCCTGAACCAGCGCGCCATGGCCGTCACCCAGGTGCGCGGACACTGACTTGCGGTTTGTCGCTCCGCCTCTCTCGCACTCTTACGGAGAGCTCCCCGAGTGCCAGTGGGCCAGACGACCGGCACAGGCGGCCAAAACACGCGTTTTGAGCTCCAGAGTCGCTTAACAGGACTCGAACCGAACGTGTGACCCCACCAATGGATTCTTCGTTCGGAGAACAATCCATTGGTGAGGTCACACGTTCGGTTCGAGTCCCATTTAGCGACTCTGGAGCTCAAAACGCGTCCGAAATTTTGACCACCTCCACCGGTCTTCTGGCCCACTGCGAAGTGGCAGTGTAAGGAGGTCCGACCCGACTGGTTGCAGGTGGCGTTCGTGGGGCTGTTCATCTTGGCGCCGGGCTGCTTCGGCGCGCACTGCGTCACGGAGGACGACCTGGAGGCCCTGGTGTACGTGTGGTGGGTGCTGGGCGGGGCGCTGGGCGTGCAGGACCGCTACAACGCGTGCGGCGGAGCACGTCGCCGACGTCACGGCGCGCACAGTGTGCACGACGTGCACAGTGCGGGCGCCGCGTCCCTGGCCGTGGCGCGTGCCCGGGCGCGTGCCGTGGTGCGCGCGTGCGTGCTGCCGCGGCTGGCGCGCGCCTCGGCGCGCTGGCAGGCCATGTCCGCCGCGCTGTGCGACGGCGCCGCCCTCGCCGCGCCCGGGCTGTCGCTGCCGCTCGCGCTGTCCGCCCTCGTCGACGTCCTGGCCGTGGTGGCGGACGACGCGGACCTCCCCGACGGCGTCCCCGTCGAGCGGGTCATGTCGGCGAGGGACGTCGCCTGGCGCGCGCTGTACCGCCTCGTCCTGCAGCGCGCCATGCAGTCCGCCGCGGGCAGGGCGTTCCACAACGCGCTCTTCAAGCTGTCCCTGTGGGTGTCGGAGCGCGTCCCCGAGCGCCTCGTCCTCGTCGCCACGGGCGCACAGTGGGCCAGAAGACCGGTGGAGGCGGCCAAAACCCCGGACGCGTTTTGAGCCCCAGAGTCGCTAAACAGGACTAGAACCGAACGTGTGACCCCATCAATGGATTGCTCTCCGAACGAGGACTCCATTGGTGGAGTCACTCGTTCGGTTCGAGTCCTATCTAGCGACTCTTGAGCTCAAAACGCGTGTGGTTTCGGTGGCTGGCGCCGGTTTTCTAGCCCACCGTGAGCGCAGTGCCCAACGTGCCCCACGGACGTGTAACTTAGAGGACCCAGGTCACAGAGAGGGAGGGAGGGCTCAAAAAGTGGCCTGAAATCGCTAACGTGGTATGGGTTCGAGACCCTAGAACTTCAGTTTACAAATTTTTGAATTGCCTATCAATTTTAAAGAGTACCTGAACTTAACGAATTTTGAAGAGCTTTGACAGAAATTCATGAGTGATCACGTATTTTACCTAGCAAATTTTTCAAAAAACAATTATTTTGCTTTAAGTGTGTAGTAATGTAGCCCGCCAGTTCGTGATGGGAAGTGTGCAGGTGAATCTCAGGTTCGTTAAATGTTGTCAAATAATGCAGGCAGGCTTTTGACATGCTCAAGGCATTTTTTATTTGTTTGTTATTGCCGGTGAACCAGCTCTCCCTGTTGTTTATACAATTGAACAAATGCACTGGTACGTCAACATGTAAATATTACATGACACAAAAGGCAACTCTCAATGTGCAACAAGACACAATCCCAATAAACTGTATTAAATTCCATCAAAACATAGATTAATTACACTTTATTTATTTTTACAAAAAGGACATATCTACTTACTAATCACTGGCTTAACAAAAGCTCAGACAGATCACAGAAATGACTTTCATTTATAATCTAAAAAAATTATTACTAAACCACACCCATCTGGAACATGGTAAAAGGACACTGGCAGACATGATTTTGGAAAACAATTGCACTAGGCACTCATCCAAATAGTGAAACAAGCCATGAAGTTCACCAAAATCAACTTAAAGACAGTAGGAAAGTTACAATTCCAGCCATAAACCACAGTTGAAAAATAAATTAAGTGATAACACTTCAAATAGTTGTTGGTCCTTTCAAGTCAGCAACTGTCACTCAAGATTGACACGAACTATGAACAGTAAGTTTCACATAAGTCTTATTAAGTGTATTATCACATATGATATGAAATGTAAACAATTTTTTTTTTCAAATTTGTCGTAGACTGAATCTGACATGCACTCAAAACCATGTAAAATTTGAACACTTTGTTGTTTTGATGGCATGCAAACTTTCAACACCATTTGCAAAGTAGAGTTCCTTTTTTTTTTCTTGCTTCAACACAAAACTACAACTAACCTTGCATTAGTAAAACACAAAACAGCAGTGTAAAACACACATACATGCATACAAACACACACACACACACTTCATTTTCATCTGATATGTTTATGATGTAAAAATCAACTAACGAGTAACTAAAGTCATCTAGAAATTAGATCAACTAGAAATTAAAACCTTATAAACAGAGAAAGCACATTTCAATAAAATAGAAGGATACAAAATAAAGTTAGACATTTAGTCACTTTAGTGGAACAAAGTGTCAATTTAATCATAAATCAAACACCTGCTCCAACATGGAGCAAATTTCTGAGTCTTTCTTCACAAAGTACTGAAGTATTGTCCTAATCCACCTAATTCATTTCACATTGTATGAGTTTCAGTGGAAGGAAAACATTCAGGAGAAGAAAACTTTGGCACAAAATAATAAGATCAAGCTCAGAACAAATCCAGAGATCAAGTCATATACGAAAAACAAACATATTGAAAACTAACAAAAAAAAACAAACTAAAATGAGACTAAAACAAGCTTCAGATAATTATTTCAATGAGTTTTTCGTTTATGATTAGATCCAGACATTCCAATGAAATGCCAGTAATATTGGACAAAACAATACAAAACTCCAATTGCACAGTATGCTGAAGTTATCATTAGGGGTAAGAAGGGAAACTTATCACTCAAACCAAGAGCAGGGTGAAAGACTTGCTCAAATAGGAACAAAGGTAAAAGACCGACTAGATACAAAGACTCAGTCCTATTTAAAAGAGGCAAAGTCCAAGATGCTGCTGGCTTGTCTAGTGCAAACAGATGTGACAAGTTAAGAAATGCATATAATGCATTAATCAACAGCAATAACACTTTAATTGGCAGTTCAAATGCTGTAAATAAAAGGGGGAATAAAGAATAATGTCCGACTGTAGACAATACAAGGTAGATCTGAGCCTCTCGCCGCCAGACAACAGCCAAAACTCTGCAACACAAATCAAAAATTCATTTTATTTACTGCATAATTTCTAATTGGTGCTTCAGCAAAAAATACAAAAGATAATAAAATACTCACGTTAAAGGAATTATAAGCATGAGCACAGCTTTTTCGTGTACATGCCATCCAAACATAAAGGAACCAAAGGCACAAAGCACAAGGCATCGCACAAAATGGAGTGGGTTGCCAGGGCTCAGCCACAATTTAACTAAGGCGGGCTGAAAGAAAACGTTGTCATGAAATGACATTCACACTCCGCACACTTGGGTGAAAAAGATGAGGAATCTTACCGTGATTGATAGCAATGATAACATAAAAGTCATACGGGGTGTTATTGAAGGTAAAACACTGTGTTCAAATTCCTGAACTAATCCACCAGTCATAGCTGCATTTGTAGACACATTCAATAATTTGTACCTTTGACCTGTAAAAAAAATTAAAAGCATTAAAGTATGTAAAGGATGATGTTGGAGAGGAAAAAGGCGTTAGTAAGAAAACTTAGGCCATAAGTTTACCTGCAACTGCAGCAAATTTATCAGCTGTGTTATATAAGGCCCAGAAGTTAGGTGCCCAGTAGGCATGAGACAAGCCTCTTTTAAATGGGAAAAGCCGACCCAGGACGTTTCCGATCTCATTCATCAAAAGGAAGGGTCCAAACGACACAATAAAGACTCCAAGCACTGTGCATCCCAGCTCAGTGAATCTCTTCATTGAAAAATGAGCATGCAACTCCTTCAATGATGCATTTGCTGGAGCATTTGGAAAGCAATAATTTCTCAGGAGATATACTAAATACGCTGGTGCAACATAAGCGTAAATATGCTTCAAATTCAAGAGAACAGCAAACCAAAATGCACCAGCCACATATGAACCCTGAAAATGTGAAGTAAATGTTAAAGTAAGATACTTTTTGAAGTGAGGTGACAAAATTAAGAGAGCAAATATTTTTTTAGAAATCACCTGCAGGATCTTTGCTATGGAAAGAAGCTGTATTCCATAGAGGAAACCATTATATTGAAAGTGAATGTGATCAACAATAAAAAGACCAGCATTGCCTAATAAAAGCAGCTGTAGCATTGCTGAGGGGGAACTCCAGCGGAAGTTCCAGCGAGAACTTTTTCGAAGACCACTATTTGTGACATATTTACAGCACCTTGAGACCAAAACAACAAAGTATTAGAACCATCAACAAAAACCGATAACGTCAATAGATGTACAGAATTGTTTCACTTACTCTCTTGTCCCATATGCAAACATAAGATCGGCCAGTATTACAGATAATCTTTGAAATAAAATTGTTTCAGGTGAAGCATAATTGAGGTTGGTAACAATTAGCATTTTTGGATCGAAGAATTGAGCTATTTGAGATAAAAAATATTCGAACCAAGCAAAAAGGGGAGGGTAATCTAGAGTCCATTCTGAGGTTGATTCAGTGTACCACTTCTTAACAGGTAAACTATGAGTGATTGCCAACCAATTCCGATGAACTTCAAAATCTGTGGACCGGCTGAAAAGAAAAACAGAACAAATTTAAAACATTAAAACAGAAATTTGAAAATCTTCTATGCAAAAAATTCAAAGATGTCTGGAAGGGACAACAATGTCTTACGACCACATTTAAGTGATCAGAAATAAGGAAAATCAAATTTTAGAATAAGATAGGTAATCAAGTAACCATGGTGAAAGAAATATGTAAACAAAGCAGTAGACAAAGATAAGATGTGTCTTTTGGAACATAACATAACCTACACGACACTGACATCTATCAGTGTTTTCTAAAACTCATCAAAACGGTCACATAAATGATGTGTCACTTCAAGATGTTGGTGGAAAATTGTTAGACTGCAAATAATTGAGCGAAACACGTACTCGAACCTAAAGAGCAGACGCAACTTAGAAATAAACATCCAGAACAGTACTTACTAAGCCGGAATCAACAATAGTTTGACACACGATATGAGTAGCACTACGCTCCAAAACATGTTTCTGAATATCTTTCGTACTTTCGGCAAGCTCCAGCTGACTACAGTTCAGCTGACAAGTTGTTCATCACTTGAAAATCTAAACAGCTAAACATTTGACACGTGTGACTCGCGCCGGCTAATCACATTTTCAGAAGGGCAGTGCCCAATGGCGGGAATTTCAAACGATGCGCTCCTCAGACAAATGTCTTTTCAAATCCTGTGTGGTGAAGATGTAATAAGAGGGCTCGTTAAAATAATAATAACAATTTATTTAAGATTTTTTCTGTTCTTTTTTAATTTTTATACTTTTTCTTATTTACAAATGGTTTATTAAGAACTACAGGGAGGTGTATCAGTTGTGTTTTATCCCTTCAATACCAATAGGTCTTTTTGGGGATCCTGTCTTCTGTAATTCCTAACTCTTCAGCAATTTCCATTTCGAATGTCGTGAGCCTAGGTTTGAACGTGACTTTCATATTTGCAGCAGTAGTATCTTTCTCGTTCTCTGTAGGAAAATAAAAATGAAATAAAGAACAATTTTTTTTTGTTATCTCAAAATTAATACAGTTTTATGACTTCCAGACATGTTGTTCCTTAACTTACCAACATAATTGGCTGGACTTTTATATTGGTGTGTTTCCTCAGTCTTCTTACTCAATGGTATGATGCGTCCAGTCCTCACTGACACACGGACCTTGTCACCAGTCTCTGTGTAACCCCACTCGACTTCAGTTGGGAGCCTGTAGTTAAAATAATAATGAGAAAACAAAAAAAATTATAGTACATGAGAGATGAACAGAAAAAAAAACCAAGCAATAGATAAAACTTACAGATCTCCTGGGTCAACCAGTGCGACTTGGCTAGGAACAAGTAAGGGACGTTCTGTATACGCATAAGAGTATATATAGCCATCTTCATCTTTATTTGATTCCACCTCTCCATTGAGGCCTCCTACGATAACCCAATTCCTTTCTGGAATGACCAGTTCAACAAGTCCTTGTTTCCCAGCATCTTTACCCACCAACACTTGCACCTGCAAGAAGACAAAGGTGGTTGAACACAGTGAAGCAAGCTAGGAAACGGTGATCATAGCAAGAGGGTAACCAAAGCACAAAGTGCTGCAGCCAAGTACTTACTCGATCACCCTTGAAGAAAAACCAATGTCGTAGAGGCTCAACAAATGGAGAATAGTTAATATCCTCTTTCTCGTTTTCAGATTCAAACGCCCATGGCCTTTCCAATCCAACATAATTTTTGAAAGTTCGTTGTTCCTTAGGGCGATAATTAATGCCTCGCGGAGTTCTATAAGTTACCTGCAAAACATAGAAAGACATAATATTATTGTTTACATAACAGCAGAAAAAATCAAAATGATCCACAAAAACACAATTAAAACATAGAATTCGTCTGACTTATCAACTGGACGCTACTTACACCTCTTGTTGCATCTTCAATGTATTTTTCTGGAAGGTTAGCATATTTCTTGGTCAGTTCGGAAACTTTAATTTCTGGGGGTGCGACTGGAGGCCGAAGTCTTCTCGCAAGTAATGGCAACGTGAAACGCATGATGATCTAGTTTACGTTAAAATCAACTCTTAACACTGGAAAACAGAGAAATTTGATTCATTCAAGCTTCACACACACGTGAAATAACACACCTACACTGCCTATAATGTTGTGATTGTGACTATTCGCAGGTTGCAGCAGAAGACAGAAGCAGAAGACAAAGTATAGTGAAATTGGTGAAAGCGCAGCCGCTGCAGCGTTGTGGTGTTGTCATTTTCGAACCATTTGACACCTGTTACCGAAAACTTGATCGCAGGATGACGTCCATTGAGGAACTTAAGGCGAAAATCGAGAGGCTGGAGCAGGAGCTAGCCGTTGAAAAATCTAAAAACTCAAATGCTCCAGTGCGAGGGAAGATTGCTCAGATGTCATCTGAAGTTGTTGATTCCAATCCATACAGGTTAGGCGTTACTGAAATACTCTAACTTTTAAGAAAAACACAATGTTGCCATCACGTATTTCGTTCCTTTAAAAATAAGTCTGGTCAGAGAAAATCTTAGACATGATTTCTTTTTGCGAAGCTTGCATTGATTGATGTGTTGGTGCACGAGCTACTGTCCATATGTTTGAAAAGCTTGATTGAAGTTGTCTTTTAAAACCATCAAATTTCCTATTATTATTCTTTCTAGCCGCCTCATGGCGTTAAAGAGGATGGGAATTGTTGATAACTATGAAAAAATTCGAGAACTGTCTGTGGCTGTTGTCGGTGTTGGTGGCGTTGGTAGTGTCACCGCTGAAATGCTGACTAGATGTGGTATTGGAAAGGTAATATTCCTTTTATTTACTTTTATGTATTTATTTTGTAGCTCTGTTACAGAGTTTGTGTGTTTGTATCTTTCCAGCTTGTGTTGTTTGACTATGATAAAGTTGAACTTGCCAATATGAATCGACTCTTCTTCCAACCCCATCAAGCTGGTCTTTCAAAAGTCGCTGCTGCTGCACATACTCTTATGGATATTAACCCTGATGTAGAAATAGAAACCCACAACTATAATATAACTACCATGGAAAATTTCAATCACTTCATGGAAAGAATTAAGTAAGTTTCTTAATATTTTGATATTTTTTCTGGCGTTTTTATTTAAATTCTTTTTAGTTGTAGTTTATTTAATTTTTATTTTATTTCAGCACAGGCAGTTCAACTGGAGGACCAGTTGACCTTGTTCTCAGTTGCGTTGACAATTTTGAAGCACGCATGGCAATTAATACAGCCTGCAATGAGCTCAATCAAATCTGGTTTGAATCTGGTGTGTCTGAGAATGCAGTTTCGGGTCATATTCAACTAATCAAACCAGGAGAAACTGCATGTTTTGCGGTCTGTTTATCTTCTTTGGATTTTGTCTTGTCTTGTTAAGTATCTTCTCGTTGTCTGTAACAAGTTGTGGACGGTTGTTTTTTAATCTTCCAGTGTGCTCCACCTCTTGTTGTTGCTTCCAATATTGATGAGAAAACTCTCAAGAGGGAAGGTGTGTGTGCTGCAAGTTTGCCTACCACAATGGGTATAGTCGCTGGCTTCCTTGTTCAAAATACTCTCAAGTAAGTTGCTTTCGTCTTCTTAAATTCCTTTTCTGGTTGATATTATTTTAGGTTCCCAGTTTGGTGGAAACTTATTATTTTACGTTGCCCCAGGTACCTTCTCAATTTTGGCCAAACTACACACTACTTGGGCTACAGCGCACTCACTGACTTTTTCCCAACGATGCAGCTGAAGCCAAACCCAACGTGCGATGATTCATTTTGCCAGGAGAGGCAAAGGGAATTCGCTGCTCGCCCTAAGCCTGAAGTCTGTGATGATGGTGTTCCCGTGGAAGAAGAAGTGGTTCATGAAGACAATGATTGGGGTGAGAATAAGAGAAAATACAATCAGAAGTTAATTTGTTTTGCAAATAATGTATAACTTCTCTTGTAAATGCCTTGTTCCACTTACAGGTATTTCCCTGGTTGATGAAACACCTGCTAACACCACTGAAGAAAATGTTAGTAAACCAGTTGGCCTTGCTCAGGGTGTCAGTGTTGCATACGACCTTCCAGCGCCAAACAGCGGTAGCTCCGGGCCTACTGTACAAGATACAGACATTTCTCTTGAGCAACTGATGGCACAAATGAAGAAAATGTGATTTAAGTTATTCAACTGCTCTTGGTTGAGACTGGGAAAAAATATTGAACTGTTGTTGATTGTAGATAAGTGTTGTGGAGATCTAGGATGTAATTTTTTGACAAGGCCTTACCACTAAAGAAGTCTGCCTTCACCGCTGTTTTGTGACATCTATTGTCGAGACATTTTTTCCAACATCCATCACTCTATAATCAAGGACTGGTTTTTATCTTTTAAAATGTTGTTAATTTTTGAAGTTTTTATATTTTGTTTTTACACGGGTTCTTGTGATGTCATGAATGAATTATTGTCTGTATTTCATAATTTATGTGTCAGTATTTTTGTAACATTATTCCATTACAATTGATTTTCTATCCACTCTCTATGACATCCAAATAAATTTTTCTGCCAGCAGATCCATTGTCTTTTCTTTGTTCCAAAAATAGTAATCAATCCATCTATCATGACTTGATTTTTTCTTGCCATTGCTGTTCGATCGATCCATGAGGCATCCTCCACAACGTTTGCAGAAGTGGCCATCCGTTCTCTTGGCTGTCTAGCACGTAAGTGTTCTGCGGGTCCATGGCGTGAGACTGCAGTCCCAGGACCAGGCTCTGGCACAGCCGCGCGCACACGCACACCTTTGGACAGACCGAAGCATGACATTTATTAAACAGAGCTGTAAAGGCCTTTGAGAGACGTAGAGGTAAGTTACGGAAAGAAAGCACAGGGTGAGAAAGGTTCACCAGAGCCACCATTATTTCAACGAAACACAAAAATCTGTGTGTGAAAGCATGGTTAAAGTCAACTGGAAGTGGAGATCTCCGCTGTAGGCTGTGGGACACAGGGTGGGTGTGCTTTGCTCGCCCTGAACTTTTCTTTCCCAACTTGCCGCTCCTCTGAATCTGACAGTTACCTTGAGGAGGCTGACCCAGTGCGCGGGCACGGGCCTGTGCTCGCTGTAGCCCTGCAGCACCTGCCCCACCGCGTCCAGGTCCCCGCTCGTGATGCCCATGTAGGCCCCGGCTAGCGCCACGTCGAACAGCCGCGGTGCCCAGTGGCAGTCGCCGAGGTCCAGCACGCCGGCCACGGCCCACTCCCCGGCCTCGGCGGCCCGCTGCACCACGATGTTGTACTGGTTGTAGTCGCCGTGGATGAGGCCCGACTCCTCCTGGAGGGCCTCCTTGTGCGCCTCGGTGTCCCGCTGGAACGCGACCAGCACCTGTCAAAAGCCCGTGCAGCAATCCACGCTGAAAGCAGTGCACAGTGGGCCAGAAGACCGGTGGAGGCGGTCAAAATCTCGGACGCGATTTGAGCTCCAGAGTCGCTAAATGGGACTCGAACCGAACGTGTGACCCCACCAATGGATTGCTCTCCGAACGAGGAATCTATTAGTGGAGTCACGTTCGGTGTGAATCCCATTTAGCGACTCTGGAGCTCAAAACGCTTCCGAGATTTTGTCCGCCTCCACCGGTCTTCTGGCCCACTATGAGTTAAAAATGGCGCGGCCTTGCGTACCTCCTCCACGATGATCTTCCTGACGGGGTCCTTGACGTGCTCCAGGTGCTTCATCACGGCCGGCGCCTCCCACAAGCTCCACTCCGTCGTCCGACACTTGATGCCGGGGATGTCTATCTCCTGCAACGGGACGAGGTTCAACGTTCAAGGTAGGGGTTCCGAGCCTTGGATTGGCTTTGGTCCGGTTCAAAATGTCCCACTAGCGTCTCTCACGGCGCGGCGGGGTGGAAGGAGCGCCTGGCGCGTATGCAGTCCCGTTACACAGACGAGCGGCGCGGGATGGCCCACCCTGCCCCTGCCGTCACCATTACCATTAAGGGCTAGACACTCCCTCCAGACAGTGTTGCCACGTGAGCTGAAGAAAAGTCCCACGATGCACCAGTGCCGAAAGAGTTGCCCACCTCCGCCGGCTTAGGAGGCAACTTCTCGCGAGATAAGCCCAAATATTGCGTACTTACAGCAGGCAGGCTGAGGTTCACAACCCTTTTCACGCGGGTGCATATTGGGGGTTCCCGCCCGCCAGTATGGCAACGCTGCTTTCAGACCGCCTGCCGGGTAGGCAATCCCGTTGCACAGGCGAGCGTCGCGGCTCGGCCAGCTCCTGAGTCGCTAAATGGGACTCGAACCGAACGTGTGACTCCTCCAATGGATTCCTCGTTCGGAGAGCAATCCATTATTGGTGGGGTCACACGTTCGGTTCGAGTCCCAGTCAGCGACTCTGGCGCTCAAAACGCATCTAGAATTTTGACCGCCTCCACCGGTCTTCTGGCCCACTGTGCCCTGCACTTCGCAGCTCGGCTTGCGCCAGCATCGTCACTCACGTCCATCAGGTTGGTTATCTTGGCCAGCTCCCGGCCGACGTGCAGCGGGAAGCTGCGCTGCCACGGGACTTTGCCCAAAATGTTCCCCGGCACGAACTCGAGGAGGCGCACCGCGTGGCCGGGGCCTGGAACGACAGCTGTTCGTCAGAAACAGGAACAGGTGAGCGATTCTCACGTTTCGGGGTAGTTTCGTTTCTTCTGACTCCTGTGCCCAAACGAGCGCAGATATCGACATGGGGTTTGTTTCTGATGTTAGGGAGGGCCATTGCCCACTAAACGCACACATTTCGAAAAGTTCACGTTCGTTGGATTGGTCTACGTAGCGTTTGGAATACCCCAAATGTAACTTCCGTGATTGTCCAAAGAGAACATACTCGAACTTTCCGCCCCCAGTGTGGCGGTGTGGTTCGAAAATGCTGCCAACTGTCGATGGGGATTCGAAGCTTGGCATGTCTCGAGCTAATTTCAACCGAAGACCAATACGCCAGACTTCTTTCGAAGGTACTTATGCTGCAACGAAAAATGTCCTCCGTATATTCAATTTCACTACACAAATTTCGAAAAGGCAGCTCTGGACTTCTCCCCAAGCCAAACTTGTAACTTTCCATGACACAAGCCATCAAAGTGGAGTCCCTGGGACATAATTGCATGGGTCGCGGAAATCTAAGATGCTGTACACGGTCTCAAAGCGGGCTAGAGCATTATAAAATGGCGTGTATCAACAATTACCTGTTCCGTGGCACCCTTTACCCAATGTTGCAGCAGCACTAGGTGAAAAAATTTTCCGCTTAAATGTCGGGCTTAGAGTATCATTTGACCCTGGAACGACTTTTAAGCCACAGCAAGCCCGAGTCAGCCGTTAAAGCCGATTTTCACACTTTGTAACTTCCGTGATAACGTAATTTCCGTGATCAAAACACCCACTAAAACGTATGGGAATACCTTATGGCTCATGTTTTTAGGAAGATAGTACAAGGTCTTTACTATAAATACCATGGCCATAACTCTAGTATCATCCAGGACCCCAATAATCAGAAAAACTTAATTGGATATTTCTCACTTTCGGCAAATCAGAGACGCCAAAACTACCCCGAAACGTGAGAATCGCTCAGGTGGGTCCAGGAAACGACACGACACGGTAAACAGAAAAACACTTGAACTGACCGTCCTCTCGCAAATGCTCCATTGAGTGCATGTTCCCTTGCTTGTTCCTGACCGGCCGCGGGCATTTGACTCCATTTTCCGCTGAAAATGAAATCGACGTGGGTGTCAGGAGGCAGCGCATTTTTATTTTTGTCATTATTGTTCTGTTTTACTTTGCTACTTGCCTAGGAACGCCAATAGGCGATTTTGCCCGTCGATGAAATCCTGGTTCCGGCTGTCCAGGCTGTTGGTCACCTTGAGGGTGTACCCGTCGGGGGCAACGCTCTTCACGTTGGGGTTGTCTGTGACGTCGCTCGGCTGCACAACACAAAACAAACAAACCGTTTGTTTTGTCAACTTTCGGCTGCTGGCCCGCGCACTGTGGGCCAGGAGACCGGTGGAGGCGGCCAAGAGATGCGTTTGGAGCTCCAGAGTCGCTACATGGGATTCGGACCGCACGTGTGACCCCACCAATGGATTGCTCGTTCGGAGGGCAATCCATTGGTGGGGTCACACGTTCAGTTCGAGTCCCATTTAGCGACTCTGGAGCTCAAAACGCGTCCGATATTTTGACCGCCTCCACCGGTCTTCTGGCCCACTGTGTACCGATGGCTGAGACGCTTACCCGCAGCCAGAAGTTCTTGTCGTCGTAGCCGACCATCTCGGTGATGGCGCCGCCGGCGAACCCGTACAGTCTGCTGGCCAGCTCCAGGGCCAGCGCGGCGTCCACGATGGGCTTCTCCATCGCGTCCAGCGCGTCGTCGGCCATGGTCCGGGCCTCAAGTCCGCAGTCTTGGTCGGAGCGTGGCCCGAGGGTCGACGTCAGGGAAGGCCAGCGTCCTCGACGGCGAGGTGCGGCGGTCGACGGGGAGGTGCCGTGGTTGACGGCGAGGTGCGGTGGTCGACGGCAAGGTAAGGCGGTCGACGGCAAGGTGCGGTGGTCGACGGCGAGGTGCAGTGGTCAATGGCAAGGTGAGGCGGTCGACGGCAAGGTGCAGCAGTCGACGGCACGGTGCGGTGGTCGACGGCGAGGTGCAGTGGTCAATGGTAAGGCGGTTGACGGGGAGGTGCAGCGGTCGACGGCACGGTGCGGTGGCGCGGTGTGGCGAGTGACTTCAAGATGTGGTGGTCGTCGGCGAGGTGCGGCGGTCGACGGCGACGTTCGGACTGCGCAGGAAGCGGACCTCGGCACTAAACAGCGCGACGACCGCGACGAGGACGACGCCTCTAGATAAGGGTAGACGATAAGCCGAAGATCCGCCTGCTCGGAGGAGGCGAACGGGCCCGCCGCCGTGGACGAACTGTCGGCCTGTCAGCGCGGTCGACGGACTGTCTCTCTCTATTTGGCCAGCAGATTGCAGTGACCTGACAGCCAGCCTCCCCTCCCTCCCCCTCCCCCTCCGGTCCGCTGGACTGCCGCAGTCTCTAACTAGTCCTTGACTAGCCCAACTAGAAGTTCAAGGGTGAGCCGCGGCCGGCGCGCAGTCCTCGCGAGCCGCGTGTAGAGTAGAGGCGGAAGCGAGGCGGAACGCGGGTTCGAATACCGGCCCGGCGGTTCATTTTTGGGGCGAGCGGCGGTGCGGCGGAACGCGGGTTCGAATACCGGCCAGGCGTTTCATTCTTCGGCGAGCGGCGGCGCCGCCGGGTGACTTATGGTGGCGCCGGCGTTGTTGCTGGACTGCCTACACTCCGCTACACTCACTGTGTGCTGCCCGCCCCTATCGGCCCCTATCGAGCGGTCCATCTCGTCGCCGGCTGGGTGGCAAACCCGTGGGGTGGCGCGTACGGCGCGCCGCCTACCTGGCCGCGGCGATACACCACGCCACCGAGTCCCTCCAGGGGGCGAGGCGTATCTTCTATATCCGACGAAAAGACAGAAACAACCATACCTGCGCTTGCGACAGAAATGTACCCTGGAAATTAAGTGTGGCGTTAGGGTTCCCTTTTCGGCCCGCTCCACAGTGGGCCAGCAGACCGGTGGAGGCGGTCAAAATCCCGGACGCGTTTTGAGCTCCAGAGTCGCTAAATTGACTCGAAATCAACGTGTGGCCCCACCAATGGATTGCTCTCCGTCCGAACGAGGAATCCATTGGTGGGGTCACACGTTCGATTCGAGGCATGTTAAGCGACTCTGCAGTTCAAAACGCGTTGCGTAACTTCTGCATACCGGTGCTTACGACAGGAGCGGTGCCCGGAAATTTAGCGTGGAGTTAGGTTCCGTTCTCGGTCCGCTCGGCGCAGGCAGTGATGCGTGCTTCGTCGGTCGTCCCCGGAATGCAACGGCCGGGGACCTGGAGCCGAGTCGGAGACACGGACCCTCGGGCACTATCCAGCCAGGCCCTCTATTTTCGGCTTTTCGGTCATAGGGAGTGGGGGCAGGGAGCGGGACTAAGTCACAACAATGGTGCATGCTTGTGTGGGTGGATGCGTGGATATGTGGCGCGCAGCTGTGCGAGAGCACAACGGAAATGAGTTCTCTCAGATTGGGATTTTGAGCGGATGCTATAGAGCGTTCCAGTGGGACCTGCTCGAAAATTAGTCGAATGTGGGGTTTTGAACTCCAGTAACCAGGACTCGGGGCCGACGACGCCATAAGTAATAATGAACAGCTCTCCAAACGCATCCATTTTATTTCAACATACGACACATACCAAATACTAAACCACTGCATACTGTGCATACCAAGAAGACAACGCATTATAGTCTAATTTGATTAAGTGACGACTTAAAGAGTGTTCAAAGTTTTCCACTGGCTTGCTTGTCACCCCAGAAAATAGACACTTTTTCTCAGGGGCCCCCCAGAAGGTAGGCAACTTTTCATACTGTCACTGGTCATAACTTCTTGCACTTGCAACCGTTTTCCACTTGGCCTCCTTGCTCTCCTTGCTCCTGCAGTGCCTTCGTCACTCCTTCTCTCTCGCACTCATGAGGAGGTCCGTAACACAGTGGGCCAGAAGACCAGTGGAGGCGGCCAAAACTCCAGACGCGTTTTGAGCGCCAGAGTCGCTAAATGGGACTCGAACCAACCGTGTGACCCCACCAATGGATTCATCGTTCGGAGAGCAATCCATTGGTGGGGTCACACGTTCGGTTCGAGTCCCATTCAGTGACTCTGGAGCTCAAAACGCGTCTAGAGGTTTGTCCGCCTCCACCGGTCTTCTGGCCTACTGTGCGTCAGGGTGCGAGAGAGACAGTCGGCTACATGGTGGCCTCGGCCTCCTCGCGGTCCTCGGCCCGGTCCGGCGGCGAGTAATAGATGTCCCCGGGGGCGGGGTTGAAGGTCTTGGTGCCGCCGGCGAAGGGGCCCGTTCTGGGGTCGGGCCGACGTCCCTCCAGCTCGTGCAGGATCACGGCCAGGGGCTTGCCTGCGGGGCAGACGCGTAGTTTCATAGCGGTTCGACTACATCGATTCGACTCCAGCGATTGGACTACACCCATTCGACTATATCAAATGGACTTTATCGATTGAACTATATCGATTAAACTATACCGATAGGACTATATCGATTAGCCCATACACTGGTAAAACTAAGGCGTACTATTACGCCCTTCGTGAAGCATACAGCCAGTACGCCCTTCTTCAAGCGTACAAGAGTTCATGCGCTCCTTTCTTCCTATCTAAATGCATGAGGGAATTGCCTTGAAGCGTAGTTGTACGCTTCAAGAAGGGCGTACAGTCTTGAAGCGTAGTTGTACGCTTGAATGAAGCGTACAACTACGCTTTAGTTTTACCAGTGTATCGGTTGGACTATATCGATTGGACTATATCAATTGGACTATACTAATCGGGCTATATCGATCGGACTTCATCGATTGGACTATATCGATCGGACTATATCGATCGGACTATATCGATCGGACTATATCGATCGGACTATATCGATCGGACTATATCGATCGGACTATATCGATTGGACTAAATCGATAAAGTTATATCGATTAGACTTTGTCGATTGGACTTCATCCATTTTACTCCTCAAATGGAGCTGTATCGATTCAACTGCATTGATTCAACTGTAATCGATTCTTCTATATCGATTCAACTATATCAATTCAACTATATCGATTCAACTATATCGATTCAACTATATCGATTCAACTATATCGATTCAACTATATCGATTCAACCATATCGACCTCACCTTTCGTCTCGATGACGCCGAACCACGCGAAGAGCGCGCCCGCCAGCGAGCAGCCGGCGAAGACCCACATGGCGCCGAACTGGCCGATGTTGTGGCAGATGTCCTCGAAGAACTTGGTGACGATGAAGGCGAGGATGGAGCAGAAGGAGATGCTGATGGAGGTGGCCAGGCTGCGCACACTGGAGGGGAAGAGCTCGGACACCAGGATGAAGGGCACGGGGCCCGCGCCCAGCGCGTAGGTCACGCTGTACATGGACAGGCACAGCACGGGCAGCCAGCCGATGCTGCTGATGTCCTGGTCGGTCGCCTGGAGGGGGAGAAGCAGAACCGGGTTGCAGCATACGGACTGAAGACTCCGCAAAAAGGTACGGTTCCTCAAGATACCAACAAACTTTGACGCTGAACCAGTGTCGAAAGGGTGGCCAACCTCAGCCTGCCTAATGGGCTATACTTGTTCACATGAGCAAAGCCCACGCATTGCCTAGTCAGCAGGCTGGGGTTGGCCACCCTTCCGACACTGGTGCATCGCACAGTGGGCCAGAGGTCCGGTGGATGCGGTCAAAATCCCGGACGGGTTTTGAGCTCCAGAGTCGGTAAACAGGACTCGAACCGAACGTGTGACCTCACCAATGGATTGCTCTCCGAACGAGGAATCCATTGATGGGGTCACTCGTTCGGTTCGAGTCCTGTTTAGCGACACTGGAGGGCAAAACGCGTCTAGAGTTTTGGCCGCCTCCACCGGTCTTCTGGTCCACTGTGCATCGGGGTTCGTACCTTCATGTAGAAGACGCCGCCCAGGATGAGCAGGCAGGAGCACATGCTGACGTAGGACACGACGAGCAGGATGCGGCGGCCGAGGCGGTCCACGACGAGCGACGCGGAGCACACGCCCACCAGCTGCAGCACGCCCACGATGATGGTGGCCGAGTTGGGCTCCATCGTGCTGCCGGCTTCCTGCACACAGTGCACACTTCCCTCCATTAGACACACGCTTAAAACCTTACGAAGTGTTTTGAGCATTCATAGGACAAACTAATTTACTATAAGAGCTGATTTTCTTTGCAAGGCCCCAAAATAGTTTGATTTTTTGGAGTGCAACCAGCACGTCACTGGCCACGGAGAGTAAGGAATGTGGTCGAAATCAAGTCGAGATAACGTCACAGGTGTCAGTGCTGGCACATAAGAGGGCAGAAAAAATCCTACTACACATATGTAATCAGTGTGGAAAGCGTTGCCAAGCTCATCCTGCACCTTCACCGCAGACAGCGTATGCGAATGCGAAGATGTTGCTTGTTAGGCAGGCTGAGGTTGGCAACCCTTTCGACACTGACGCACAGTGTGCCAGAAGACCGGTGGAGGCGGCAAAAATTCTTGACGCGTTTTAAGCTCCAGAGTCGCAACGAGGGACTCGAACCGAACGCGTGACCCCAGATTGCTCTCCGAACGAGGGATCCATTGGTGGGGTCACACGTACGATTCGAGTACTGTTTAGTGACTGTGAAGCTCAAAACGCGTCTAGAATTTTTGCCACCTCTACCAGTCTTCTGGCCTACTGTGCGATGCATCGTGGGAATTTTCGCACACTCATGTGGCAACACCGCAAAGGGTCAATTCGGCATCAAATTGGACCAATTCTCGACTTAAATCGCTCAGCGGCATGTTGCAGTCCTCGACTTTTCTGTTTCTGTTGCCCCAGGTCCGGCCGCCTACCCGGAAGATCTGCACGGTGAACGAGAGGATGGCGTTGATGCCGCACCACTGCTGCACCGTGAAGAGGAACATGACGATGAAGAGCGCGCGCCGCGCCGCCCTGGTGGCCACCAGCTGGCGCAGCAGGGCGAGCTGGCTCGGCGCCTGGCCGCTGCCGCCGCCGTCCTCGGCGCCGTCCTTCATGTTGGCCACCAGCTTGGCCAGCTCGTCGTCCACCTGCGGGCACGGCTGTGAGCGTCACACAGTGGGTCAGAAGACCGGTGGAGGCGGTCAAAGCTCCGGACGCGTTTTGAGCTCCAGAGTCGCTGAATGGGACTCGAACCGAACGTGTGACCCCACCAATGGATTGCTCTCCGAACGAGGAATCCATTGGTGGGGTCACACGTTCGGTTCGAGTCCCATTTAGCGACTCTGGAGCTCAAACGCGTCTAGAGTTCTGGCCGCCGGCGCCGGTCTTCTAGCCCACTGTGCGGCTTTTACAAACACGAAGAACCTTCGCCGTAAGTGATTGACAGTGTGCCCGCCACCCACCAGGTCGACGCGGCCGCCGCGGAGCCACGTGAGCGAGCGCACGGCCAGCGGCACCTTGCCGCGGCTCAGCAGGAACACGGGGGTGTCGGGCATCCAGAGGAACGCCACGAAGAAGATGCAGGGCAGCGTGAGGCAGACGATGGCCAGCGCGCGGAAGCTGGCGAAGGAGCCCACCACGAAGGAGAAGAGGATGCCGGCCGTGAGCATGACGGAGAACAGGGAGCCCAGCATGCCGCGCAGCGAGTCCTCGGACGTCTCGCCGACGTACAGTGGACACACCACCAGCGAGGAGCCGCCGCCCAGCCCGGCCAGCACGCGCGCGATGAACAGCCACGCCACCTGCGAGGGGTGAGCAGTCGTTCAGGGTTGGAGGTTTGTGAATCGTTCGCAGCCACCGGAAGCCCCACCAGTGGGCCAGAAGACCGGTGGAGGCGGCCAAAACTCTAGACTCGTTTTGAGCTCCAGAGTCGCTAAATGCGACTCGAACCGACGGTGTGACCCCACCAATGGATTCCTCGATCGGAGAGCAATCCATTGGCGGGGTCACACGCTCGGTTCGAGTCCCATTTAGCGACTCTTGAGCTCAAAACGCGTCCGGGATTTTGGCCGCCTCCACCGGTCTTCTGGCCCGGAGGTGGCCAAAAGTCTAGACGCGTTTGAGCTCCAGAGTCGCTAACTGGGACTCAAACCGCGGTTGTCCCCACCAATGGGTTGCTCTTCGATCGAGTAATCCATTGGTGGGGTCACACGTTCGGTTCAAGTCCTGTTCAGCCACTCTGGAGCTCAAAACGCGTCTGGATTTTCGACCGCCTCCACCGGTCTTCTGGCAAATCCACTGTGTGTCCTCACCTCGTCGGCGAAGATGACGCACAGCCAGGACACGACGTAGGGCACGGCGCCGATGAGCGCGGCCTTCTTGCGGCCCAGCACGTCGGCGAGCCAGCCGAAGATGAAGGTGCCCACGACGCAGGAGATGCACAGCACGGCCACGATCCAGGACATGGCCTCCAGCGTGACGGGCGGCCCGGGCAGCGGTCTGTACACGTCCGGCGCCGCGGTGGCGTTCGCGTCCAGGTCGGTCCAGTTGCCGAACGCGTCGGTGGCGTTCTCGGTCTTGTTGGCGGCGCTGTCTAGCGCGGCGATGAGCTGCGGCCCCGCCATGGCCGGCCAGCCCAGCGTGGTGCCGAACACGAAGCCGAGCATGTTGACTGTGGAAAAGCGGAGCCAGTGTAGCGGCATCAGTAGGGTCACTTGGGGTAATTATGGGACACGGGGCAAAAATGGGGCAGCTGATTCTTAGTCAAGAATCGAGATTTTAGAACTTGTGCCGCAGCAAATGTTATTTTGCTAGCTGACCAGCTGACCCCAGGCAAAAACGACATCAGTGAGAGTCGAAAAGGTTGCTAACCCACAGTGGGCCAGAAGACCGGTGGAGGCGGCCAAAACTCTAGACGCGTTTTGAGCTCCAGAGTCGCTGGGGACTCGTACCGAACGTGTGACCCCATCAGTGGATTCCTCGTTCGGAGAGCTATCCATTGGTGGGGTCACGGTCACACGTTCGGTACGAGTCCCCTTTAGCGCCTCTGGAGCTCAAAACGCGTCTGGAGTTTTGCCCGCCCCCACCGGTCTTCTGGCACATGTGCAACCTCAGCTTGCCTTCTTCGCAAATATCTTCGCTTCGCAGGCTGAGGTCGGCAACCCTTTCAACAGTGCTGCATCGTGGAAAATTTTGTCTACTTATGAGGCAACACTGATCGGAGCACATGCTCGCTTGTGTTCGTTGTACTTCAGTGGATCATTCCTGGTCTAGCCTATCATGTCCATGTTTCGCACGGTACGCAGTCCTCTACACTCTAAATGTTCTACAGTGAAGATTCTCCATATTATGGTGAAAATGTTCCATATTATGGTGGTGCAGCTGACTTCATAACACGTTACCATTGAGACTTCACTGTACCTTACAGATATTTTGGCGAATTTCGTTGGTGTTATGGAGAAAATCTCCACCATAATATGCTCACTGAAAAACCAAACGTGGTCTAGACCGCACCAAACGTGGCCAAACGTGGCCTAGGCCACACCAACTGATGTGGTCAAAATGGCAACCATCTGACCACACCAGTGGTGCGGTCTAGAGACCACGTTTGGTTTTTCAGTGCTTTCACCGTAAGCCATTTACAGTGTACACGCGGACGCCACTTACCCACGATGGCGGCGAGGTACTGCTTGAAGGTCCTGGCGCAGTTGCTGAGCTTCTCGGCGGCCTCGTCGAGCTGGGGGTCGGTGGAGTACCGCCGGAGGAGGGTGACCGCCGTGGCCTCGGGCAGCGAGGCGCGCAGCGAGCTGGTCGTCATGGTGGCGGCGGTTCAGCTCTCGGAGGTCGACAAGTGCATCACGGTCTTCGCGAAGGGGATGCCGCGCGGACTCCGGCTCGACGGGGACGCCGTTTGAGGCGCACGGCGGTTCAGCTCTCGGAGGTCGACAAGTGCATCACGGTCTTCGCGAAGGGGATGCCGCGCGGACTCCGGCTCGACGGGGACGCCGTTTGAGGCGCACTCGAGACCCGCAGAGTCTCATGCCCCCCGACACTGGTAAACCTCCACCCCGAGACCCTCGGGCCGCTTGGGGCTCTTTGAAGACGCACTGGAGCTCGCGTGGGGTACACCACTGTTTTCTTCCTTAGTCCTTCGTCCTTGGCCCTGTGGTCCTTACTCCTTCGTCCTTGGTCCTGTGGTCCTGAGTCCTTTCGTCCTTGGCCCTTTCCGTGGTCCTCCGTCCTGGCGGTGCGCCGGTGGCCACCGTGCAAGGAGCGCCTCCCTTTCGCGACGGTGGTGGCCGCGGTGGTCCTGGTTTCACAGTGAGGCTGCGACAACTAATACCGCCCGACCCCCACGGGGCTCCAAACTAGGGTGGCGTCCGCGGCGGCGCGTCGCACAGTGGGCCAGAAGACCGGTGGAGGCGAGCAGAACCCCGGACGAGTTCTGAGCTCCAGAGTCGCTGAATGGGACTCGAACCGAACGTGTGACCCCACCAATGGATTGCTCACCGAACGAGGAATCCATTGGTGGGGTCCCACGTTCGGCTCGAGTCCTGTTTAGCGACTCTGGAGCTCAAAACGCGTGTAGAGTTTTGGCCGCCTGCACCGGTCTTCTGGCCCACCGTGCGTCGCCGTCCGCGACGGCAGACTGAATCCGAGAGTCGTTTTCATCGCTCTGTCTCTCTCGCGCCTACACGGGAGGCCCCGTGAGTGCGAGGGAGACAGAGCGACGAAAACGACTCTCGGAATCGGTCTCGGTGGACGGAGCGCGTCGCGGTGCCATTTCCCCGGACGCAGCCCAGCGTGGTTAGCACCTGGGGCGTCTATGCTCCCACCCGATGGCCGAGGATGCGCACTCGACCAGATCCGCCAGTCGGCGCATCGCTAGTTACCTAGTTACCTCGGCGGGGTGAGTCGGGGTAACCCTCACTCGGGAAGGGTAACAAATAAAGAACCAGGCCCAAGGCGTGACCCACTGTCACTGTCAAATTTTGTGTACAACGAGGGGGTATGCACTCGCGTAATAGTCGGTTCACTCTATCTGTAATAGCACGCGTAATAGTACGCGTAATAGTCGCGTAATAGCCGAAATTCTTCCATTTTTGCCAATTTTGGGGTGTTTTGGGGCCGTTTTTAGCTAAATTCTGATTATTTTGAAGCGTAATAGAGCGTAATAGCGTAATAGTCGGTTCACAGGTTTTGAGAGTGCATACCCCCTCGGTGTACAATGATTCCCAGGGAGAACAAAAAAGACCAAATTATGTCAATGTGACCTCAAAATGAGCGATCTTTGGTCAAAATTTGGTCCATTTTGATGTCCATATGACATCATTTGATGTCAGTTTGATTTGATTTTGACTATCCGTTCTCTTTGGGTTGTGTGAATGTGCGAGAATGTGCAAGATTTCTCGCGTTTTTGCCACACATGTTGCCAAATTACAGGCGTTTTTGACACCTGAATGTGGAATGTGGTCAAATTTTGTACGGTGAATGTGGGAAGCTGTTCCCCCTCGACCGGGCCGGACGCAAGAGGGAAGGCCATGTGTCCCCAAACATCGAACATGGTTGCGCCCTCGCATTGTAGGTACGGCTGCGAGTGCCGCGGTGAAGTGACTCAGTATCTTTCAATCCCAACCGCTTTGAAATGAAAAGGTTAGCACTTTGAGTTAGACCGTGCGAACTAACGACCTCCCCTCAATATCCCCGCAGCTGTTGCAAAGCCCGCTGCTTCGATTGAGTCCCATCATGGTCCCGCGTCCGGTTCTTTCCGGTCCACTGTTGCACTTCCGGTTACAAACGGTTGCGTCAGGTGGAACAGAGACAGAGGGATACTAGACGGGGCAGGTCCCTCTGGTTCGCCCCTCTGCGCGACCTCCAAAGCGCCGAACGCGCCGAACCCGGCCAGCAGACTCATTCCGAGAGTCGTTTTCGTCGCTCTGTCTCCCTCGCACTCATGGGGCGTGCCGCACGGGTGCGAGAGAGACAGAGCGACGAAAACGACTCTCGGCCGGCGGCCCGAGCAGCACGGCGCCGCTAATCGCTGGCGCCACGCCAGGCAATGGCTTGCCATCCCAGCGAGCCGCCACAACGTCACTCTTAGTTTTTATTCGTCATTCCGTCGGCGTGGGGGTGGGGGCAGGGGAGGGGGCGGTAGGCGTAGTCGTTCCGGTTCCGGTGCGCGGTTCTTTCCGGTACTCCGTAGTCGTGCGCTTCCGGTTCCTCGGTGACGCTCGGCGGTAGTTCCGGTTCCGGTGCTCGTTGGAAGGAGGGCGAAGCCGGAGGCTGCTCGTCGTCGTTACTTCCGGTTCCGGTGCCGCTCGGCCGTGCTCGTCAGTTGTTCCGGTTCCGGTGCTCGTCGGAAGGCTAGGCGGTCAGGCCGGAGGCTGCTCTTCTTCGTGCGCTTCCGGTTCCTCGGTGACGCTCGGCAGTCGTTCCGGTTCGGGTTCCGGTTCCGGTGCGGCGGTTTCTGCCGGAGCGTCCGTCGGAGCAGCGGGAGGCTAGTGAAGAAATCGGTTTCGGAGTGAGTTGATGGCTGAGCGTGTGATGTCGTGAATTAAATTTTAAACGGGCGCCGCGAGTTGGAAACCTTTTCCTCGGGCTCGAACGCCGCGCCGGTGATGTCCGCCACGAAGTAGTGGCACGCGTCCAGGAACCGCTGCTCGAACATGCCGTACTGCTCGTCCATGATGTTCTTCTCGGGGTCGAAGTCGGGCGGCATCAGCGGGTACGTCCTGTCCGCGTCCTCGGGGTCCGGGAAGCGCTCCATGACCAGCAGGTGCCTGTACTCGTTCAGGGGGTCCTGCGGCAGGAAGGGGGTCGTTCTGTCTCTCTCGCACCCCTTAGGGCTGTGCGGCGAGGCGGTCAAAATCCCAGACGCGTTTTGAGCTCCAGAGTCGCTAAATGGGACTCGAACCGAACGTGTGACCCCACCAATGGATTGCTCTCCGAACGAGGAATCCATTGGTGGGGGTCACACGTTCGTTTTGAGTCCCATTTAGCGACTCTGGAGCTCAAAAGGCGTCTAGTTTTGGGCGCATCCGCCGGTCTTCGTTCCCTCTGTGCTACGCTACGGGACGTCCCATGAGTGCGACAGAGACAGAACGAGGTAGCGTAGCTACCTCCGTGCCCAGCTCGTCCATGATGGTCTTGAGGCAGGCCTCCACGCTGGTGGGCTTGAGCTCGATGGGGCAGTAGTCGAGGACCTCGTCGTCCATGACCTCGCCCAGGTCGTAGCCCAGCAGGCTGGGCGACCACTTGCAGTCGCCGCCCCACTCGCACTGGTACAGCTTGTCGTCGTCGTCGCCCTCCTCGGCCTCCACCGAGGAGGCGGACTCGGCCACGGACTGGCTGCGGCGGCCGCCGCCGGCCGGGTGCTGCTTGAACAGGTCCGAGCTGGTGTGGCGGAGGCCCAGCGAGAACCTGCGAGGCGAAGGCAGCGGAGCCATGCACAGTGGGCCAGAAGACCGGCGCGGGCGGCTAGAACTCTGGACGCGTTTAGAGCTCCGGAGTCGCTAAACAGGACTCGAACTGAACGTGTGACCTCTCCAATCGATCGCTCTCCGAACGAGGAATCCATTGGTGGGGTCACATGTTCTGTTCGAGTCCTATATAGCGACTCTGGAGCTGAAAACGCGTCTAGAGTTTTGGCCGCCTCCACCGGTCTTCTGGCCCACTGTGAGCCGAGGCGTCGCCGCCAAGCCAAGCCGGCAAGGCGAAGGACGCGCTAGAGACCCTGTACGTGGCGGCAGAGTGGTCGCTCTGCAGACTGATTCCGAGAGTCGCTTTCGTCGCTCTGTCTCTCTCACAATTATGGGGCGTCCCACATAGGTGAGAGAGAGAGAGAGAGAGAGCGAGAGAGAGGGAGAGAGAGAGGGAGAGAGAGAGAGGAGAGAGAGAGAGGAGAGAGAGAGCGAGAGAGAGAGAGAGAGAGAGAGAGAGAGAGAGAGAGAGAGAGAGAGCGACGAGAACGACACTTGGAATCAGTGTCCTGTCTCTCTCTCACACCTTGGTTGGCCTGTCTCTCTCATCTCTTCGCACACATGATCTTCTCGCTCTGTCTCTCTCTCAGATTACTCATGCGATTGTTGCTCTGTCTCTCTTGCACTCCCATACGGGTTTACTCACGAGGTCAAGAGAGACAGAGCGACGAAGCACTGATTGGAATCAGGTGCAGTACGCCTGTAGCGCCTGCGAGGTAGGCCACCAACCCGGCCCGCAGCACACCGGTGTGAGGACGGTGGCCTACCTCGCCCCTGTCAAGACTTTCAAGACGCACGGTTGACGGGAAACCGTGGCGCTCGAAGCATCCGATCGTTTCACTCGACCAAACCGCTCTTGTCCGACCCGGCCTCGGCCGTGGTTCAAATCCCACTGCCTTGACGTTTTTGTTCCTCACTCCGGCAGGTCCCTGCGGTGGTCCTTCTTGGCGGCCTGCTTGTTGGCCTTGGGGCCCGCCATGCGCAGGAAGCCCTGCACGAAGCAGCAGCGGGCCAGCTGGAACACGACCTGCGCCGGCAAGAGGCGGATCCAGTGTGGAGGCAAACGGGCAGCACCCCTCGGCACAGTGAGCAAGAAGACTGTCGGCGGCGGCCAAAGCTCTAGACGCGTTTTGAGCTCCAGAGTCGCTAAACAGGACTCGAACCGATCGTGTGACCCCACCCATGGATTCCTCGTGCGGAGAGCAATCCATTGGCGAGGGGGTAAACACTTCAAGAAATCGTGTACAGACTCGGTATTACGCTGTATTACGGGTGTATTACACATGTATTACGACCTTAAAATGCCAAAATTTGACACATGTGACCCAAAAATGGTATTACGATCACGTGTATTACGCGTAATACACGGTTGTCGTGTACAGGGTATTACGCGAGTGGTTACCCCCTCGTCCATTGGTGGGATCACACTTTCGGTTCGAGTCCCATTTAGCGACTCGGGGCTCAAAACGCGTCCGGGATTTCGGCCACCCACAATGGAGACGGCCAAAATCCCAGACGTGTTTTGAGCTCCAGAGTCGCTGAACAGGACTCGAACCGATCGTGTGACCCCACCAATGGATTCCTCGTTCGGAGAGCAATCCTTTGGTGGGGTCACACGTTCGGTTTGAGTCCCATTTAGCGACTCTGGGGCTCAAAACGCGTCCGGGATTTCGGCCGCCCACAGTGGGCCAGAAGACCAGTGGAGGCGGCCAAAATCCCAGACTCGTTTTGAGCTTCAGAGTCGCTAAATGGGTCTCGAACCGAACGTGTGACCCCACCAATGGATTGCTCTCCGCACGAGGAATCCATTGGAGGGGTCACACGTTCGGTTCGAGTCCCATTTAGCGACTCTGGAGCTCAAAACGCGTCTAGAGTTTTGGCCGCCTCCACCGGCCCACGACCTGCGCGCGCTGCTCGCGGTGGCGCCGCAGCTCGTCGTCGCCGAGCGGGCCGGCCTCCTCCTGGAGGCGCTGCTGCTGCTGCAGGCGCGTGAGCCGCTCGTTCCAGGGCGCCTCGGCCAGCGGGTAGTCGGCCACCGAGAACATGAGCAGCGCCACCTCGTCCAGCGCGCGGATGTAGAGCGCCGACAGGCCGTGGTTGGCCGCCAGCGCGCACCGCCGCTTCTGCAGCGCGATGGCCAGCCGGCTGTTGTTCCTCCGCCTGCCGGTGGAGAGCCTCGGTGACGACGGCGCACAGTGGGCCAGAAGACCGGCGGAGGCGGCCGAAACTCGAGACGCGTTTTCAGCTCCAGAGTCGCTAAATGGGACTCGAACTGAACTTGTGACCCCACCAATAGATTGCTCTCCGAACGAGGAATCCATTGGTGGGGTACACGGACTCTACCTGGCGGCCACCGCCCGGCAGTCCAGCGTCCTGGACAGCGCCTCCAGGCGGTCCGCGAACATGCGGCACGGCAGCCGCTCCAGGAACGTCGTCAGCCGCTCGCCCACCTGAGTCAGCCCCGTGCAGTGTAGCCACGTGAGTAGGCGAAAATTCCCACGGTGCATCAGTGTCGAAAGAGTTGCTAGCGTCAGCCTGCCGGTTTCCTACCAAAGCTTGCCCAAAAACGCATTGTGTGGTCCAGCGAAGCTGCTCAGGAGGCAGGCTGAGGTTGGCAACCCTTTCGACACTGGTGCACCATGGATACACACCGGTGGAGGCGGCCAAAACCCCAGACGCGCTTTGAGCTCCAGAGTCGCTAAATGGGACTCGAACCGAACGTGTGACCCCACCAATGGATTGCACTCCGAACGAGGAATCCATTGGTGGGGTCACACGTTCGGTTCGAGTCCTGTTTAGCGACTCTGGAGCTCAAAACGCGTCTAGAGGTTTGGCGCCGGCGCCGGTTACCTGCTCGACGTCGCGGTTCATGTTGTGCCGCAGCGAGTCGTGCAGCCTGCGCAGCATGAAGCGCACCGTGGAGAAGGCGCGCTCTCGTCGCGCCGCGGACCGCGCCGCCCGCATCTGCGGACTGGGGCCCACTGCGCGCACCAACGCGCACAAGCACACCGGGAAATGTGAAGAGGAAATTGGGGGCCGAGTCGGTGTTGGGACTCCGCAGACTGATTCCGAGAGACGTTTTCGTCGCGCTGTCTGTCTCGCATCTATGCGGGGCGTCTGTGAGAACGAGAGAGACGGGGAGCAAAGAAAGCGACTTTCGGAATCAGTCTTCTGTGGAAACTGAAGAGTACATGGTCAGACGCGTTTTGAGCTCCAGAGTCGCTGAACAGGACTCGAAGCCAGCGTGTGACCCCACAATTGGAGAGCAATCCATTGGTGGGGTCACACGTTCGGTTCGAGTCCTTTTCAGCGACTCTGGAGCTCAAAACGCGTTTCGGATTTCGACCGCCTCCACCGGTCTTCTGGCCCACTGCGCACCTCGCGGCGCGATGGGGTGCAGGTAGCGCGGCTTGCACTGCAGCTCGGCCTGCACCATGTGGTTGATCTCGGCCAGCGTCTTGCGGCACAGGTCCTGGGACGCCCACTTGGACGCGGCCAGCGGGTCCTGCTTCTCGTCCAGCTTGTCGGCGCGCAGCACCTCGTCCTGCCACTTGGTGAGGTTGGGCCCCGGGCACGCCGGGCACCCCGTCTCGCTGCGCTGCTCGCCGGGCCGCTCCTGCGGTGCGCCGGAGTGTCAAGGTGTGGATCCACAGTGGGCCAGAAGACCGGTCGTGGCGGTCCAAATCCCGGACGCGTTTTGAGCTCCAGAGTCGCTAAGTGGGACTCGAACCGAACGTGTGACCCCACCAATGGGTTGCTCTCCGAACGAGGAATCCATTGGTGGGGTCACACGTTCGGTTCGAGTCCCATTTAGCGACTCTGGAGCTCAAAACGCGTCCGGGATTTCGACCGCGTCCACCGGTCTTCTGGCCTACTGTGCGTCTCTCGCGCCGGGCCGGGGCGGAGCGAGCGCCTGCCAGGTATGCAGTCCCGTTACACAGACGAACGCCGCGGGATGGCCCACCCTGCCCCTGCCATTACTATTGCCATTAACGGCTCCTTTCAGAACTGCACTGCATCGTAGGGATTTTTGCCTCGTTATGCAAGTAGTCTTCAAGTGCATCCTGGCCTCCATCGCGACCCGCGGACGTGCTTCGCGTCGGAACCCCTTCTAGAAGCTGCAAACTAAGTCGTTTCTGGCATCTACACGGGGCGCCCCATGAGTGCGAGAGAGGCAGAGCGACGAAAACGACTCTCGGAATGAGTCTGCCACACGCAGTGGGCCGGAGGAGGCGGCCGAAACCGAGGGGTACGTAACTCTCGAATATCGTGTACAGCGACTGTAAAAGTCTACAGTCAATTTGACTGTTTTGACTGTAATTGACTGTAGACGACTGCAAAACAGTCTAGTTCTGCTTGGATGGAAGTCGACTTTTTGACTGTAAAATGACTGTGTTGATTATAGGATGACTGTTTTAACAGTACAATGGTTGTTTGGAATGTATTCTTGGAAAAGAAATGACTTTTTGATAGGAATAAAAAAAGAAAGAAGAAAGTTGCAGTCCGTGCACTGCAAGACCCTACTTTGAAATATTTCATTGGCCGATGCGGGGCCGGGGTGCACATAAAAGCCTGCTGCTAACGATGTGGGCATACACACACAGTAAAAAGTGGAATTCAACCAATTTTACTATTTGTACAGAATTCATTAGTAGGTGTCCTTCGTGTCTTCCATGGGGATATACGTATTTAGAAGAAATATAATACAAAATCGTAAAATCTTGACCCTTTTTCACAAAAAAAAAAAAATGTTTTTACAAGTGCTTTCAACATGTATGAGCCTCCTAAACGTGCAAAGTTCGACTGTAATTGACTATTTTGACTGCTTTGACTGTAGTGACTGCCAATTGATTGTGTGACTGTTTTTGTGACTGTTTTCGAGGCGTACAGTGACTGTTCTGAGTTACGTACCCCTCGGCCGAAACTCTAGACGCGTTTTGAGCCCCAGAGTAGCTGAATGGCACTCGAAACGAATGTGTGACCCTACCAATGGATTGAGTGAGGAATCCATTGGTGGGGTCACACGTCCGGTTCGAGTCCCATTTAGCGACTCTGGAGCTCAAAATGCGTCTAGAGTTTTGTCCGCCTCCACTAGTCTTCTGGCCCACTGTGCCACACCCACCTGCACGCTGTGCAGCAGGCCCAGCAGCTTGCGCAGGTAGCCGCGGTCGTTCTCCAGCCTTCCCAGCGTGCGCAGCTCGGCGATGCGGTCCGCCTGCTCCTTGACCAGCGGGTCGGCGCAGATGTGGTCGTGGCCGGGCACCTGCCGCAGCCAGCCCCACCGCGGCCCGTCGCCCTCCGCCACCCGCGCGGCCTTCTTCGCCTCCGGCTGGGGCTCCGCCACTGCTTTCACCCCTGTGCGATATCCACTTCTCGGTTATCGCGATGCGATATGGACCTCAGATCTAATTAAGAGTAGATATGTCGAACCGCAAATCCAAAGGTCAGACTTCTCGCCACTCCAGAGGCGAGACATAAAGTCTGGCCAAGTTTTGGTCAGACCTGAAAGTCTCGCCAAATTGGTCCGTCAAAAAAGTCCTCGACACAAAATGGTCAGACACAATAGTCTCGCCACAGAAGGGCAAGACTTACAGGTCTAACCAAAACTGGGCGAGACTCCATGTCTTCCCATATTTTGGCGCGTGTATCAAGAAATAACCGTGATGTCAAGGGTATCGAGATTGATAATTATCGCGACATATCGACCGTGCAAGATATTGTGTCGATAAGGCATATCGTTTACCAAGTAATATCGTGATATCGCGATATATCGAGCCCTCCATAAATCGATAAGGCATATCGTTTACCTAGTAATTTCGTGTTATCGCGATATATCGAGCCCTCGATGTCGATAAGGCACATCGTTTACCAAAGCAATATCGTGATATCGCGATAAATTGAGCCCTCGATGTATCGATGTGCTGCGAAAACGAATATAGTACCCCCCGATATCAAGATGATATCGAATCGATCGACCTCGATATATCGTGATATCGCACAGCCCTACCTGGTTCGGCCACTGGTTGCGCCCCTGGCTCTGCCCCTGGTTCTGCCTCGGGTGCCGCCACTGGTTCTGCCGTAGGCTCCTGGTCGCCCTCTGCTGCGCCCTCGTCCTTATCCTCGCCCTTCGGCTCGTCTTCGCCACCCTCTTCCTCCTCTTCCTCCTCCTCTTCCTCTTCCTCCTCCTCCTCCGCGTCCTCCCCCTCCTCCGAGGACTCCTCCGAGTCGGAGGCCTGCCCCAGCAGCGGCGACGCCCCCCACACGATGGGCAGCGGCAGGGGCGTCTTGGCGCCGGGCTCCTCGGCCTGGGGCGGCGGGTCCAGCTGGATGTTGGGCAGCGCCACCCAGCTCAGCCGCTGGCCCGCCGTCTGCAGACATGTGGGACCTCTAGAGTCGCTACATTGGACTCGGACCGAACGTGTGACCCCACCAATGGATTGCTCTCCGAACGAGGAATCCATTGGTGGGGTCACACGTTCGGTTCGAGTCACGTTTAGCGACTCTGGAGCTCAAACCAATTACCACCATGTAAGTATAGCGTCACCACGATGCACCAGGGTCCAAAGGGTTGCCAACCTCAGCCTGCCCTCTAGGAAACTTCTCGAGAGCAAAGGCAAGATGTTGTCTGTTTGGCAGGCTGAGGCTGGCTACCATTTCTTTACTGTACAGTGCCCGGAGCAGGCCGTTCTTGTGTGAGCACTGGTAAAACAAAGGCATAAAAATTACGCCCTTTGGGGTATAAATACTCTTTTACGCCCTTCACAAGGGCATTAATCGTGTTATGCCCTTGCAAAGGGCGTAAATGGTATAGGAATTTCAAGCAAAATTTTAATGCCCTTCCCAAAGGCATTAACGATTTATGCCCTTAAAGGGCGTAAATCGTTTACGCCCTAAAAGGGCATAATTTTAATGCCTTTGTTTCACCAGTGAGGTAATACTTAGGACTCGAACCGAACCTGTGACCCCACCAATGGATTGCTCTCCGAACGAGGAATCCATTGGTGGGGTCACACGTTCGGCTCGAGTCCCATTTAGCGACTCGAGCTCAAAACGCGTCTCGAGTTTTGGCCGCCTCCACCGGTCTGACCCACCAGCCGCTTGGGGTTGATGCCCTTGTGGCGGAGCATGGCGCGGACCAGGTCGCGGCGCAGCACCCTGCCGACGCGCTTGTCCAGGGCGTGGCGGATGTCCGCCTTGAGCCCCTCCACGCGCTGGCCCTGCTCGTCGCCGATCAGGAAGCCGCCGCGCATGTCCCGGCGGCGCGCGCGCAGCCTGCTGGCCAGCACCAGCCCGTCCTCCAGGTCCGCCTCGCGCCACAGCGCGTCCGCCGCCGTCATCAAGGGGGCTGCCGGCGGGGGCAGCGGGGGCGGCGCCTGTCGCCATCAACGCCCTCGGTAAAAGAGGCTCGCTGGCTCTGCCGCACGCACAGTGGGCCGGAAGACCGGCGCCGCCGGCCGAAACTCTAGACGCGTTTTGAGCTCCTGAGTCGCTGAATGGGACTCGAACCGAACGTGTGACCCCACCAATGGATTCCTCGTTCGGAGAGCAATCCATTGGCGGGGTCACACGCTCGGTTCGAGTCCCATTTAGCGACTCCGGAGGTCAAAACGCGTCCGGGATTTTGACCGCCTCCACCGGGTCATGTCTTGGGGTGCGAGAGAGACAGCTGCTAAAAAAGCTCTTTGTCTCTTTCGCACCCGCGGGGCGAGCCCTGGGTGTGAGAGAGACAGCGTTCCCTAGAAGAGCACTGGCCGACCTGCTTGTCGCGCTGCTCCTGGCTGTACGTGTCCACGGCGTGCACCGCGTCCTCCAGCGCGCCGGCGAAGTCCAGCAGCCGCAGCTTGCAGTCGGCGCGGTGGGCGTACGCGCGCCACCCGCATCCCCCCGGCGTGTCCACCGCCTGCGCCGACATCGCCTTGCTCACTCCAGTCGCCTCCAGCCATCTCCAGTCACCTCCAGTCACCTCCAGTCATCTCCAGTCACCTCCAGTCACCTCCAGTCACCTCCAGTCACCTCCAGTCATCTCCAGTAATCTCCAGTAATCTCCAGTCACCTCACTCCAGTCATACTCCACTCCAGTCATACTCCAGTCATACTTCAGTCATACTCCAGTCACACTCGTCACACTCCAGTCATACTCCCAATGGCGTGCGCAGAAATTTTGAAAGGGAGGGGTCAGGCCATGCTTTTTGCCTACTTACGGGGGAAATGTGAAGCAATTTGCCTTCCCTCCAGGTGGCTGTCAAGTGACCAAAAGGGGGGGGGTCATGACCCCCCCTCACCACCCCCCTGCGCACGCCACTGCATACTCCAGTCATGTCCGGTCATGCTCCAGGCGTCCTGCTCGTTTTCGAAATAATAGTCATCTCACGCCACCGGTGGCATTGCCATTGCTTTGGCCAGGGGTCTCAGAGTGGCGGCCCGCGGGCCGAATCCGGCCCGGCTGCTCGGTGCCTGGCCCCGAGTGGGCCGGTGCCGAACGATGTTCGGCGTTCGCCGAGCGACACACTCGGCCAGCGAGAGCAGTGGTCGGTGGCTGGCTCGTCGCCGCTCGTCTCCCTGCCGTCACGCGTGTCAACCGACAGGCAGTATGTCTATCTCTCTCGCACTCACACAGTCATATGGGCGAGGGACAAGGACAGACAGTGGTCTGTGTCGGCGAGTCCGCTCAGCCGGCTGCGGACTGCCGCTGGGCGGCCGGCTCGAGCTTCACACCTCCCTAGCCGACGCGACGCGCTCCGATCTTCTATCTCTCTCTTTTTCCTAGTCCGGCCCGGGTTTGCTGCCAGTCTGAGACCCCTGGCTTTGGCCAAAAACATCTGAAGGTGACATGCCACAGGTGACAGTCTGAAAATATAGACGGGTAAGTCTGAAAATTCAGACCGACCTAAGATTTCGTTTGTCCGCTAGATGGCGCGCATGTTATGCCCTCTCTGGAGAACAACGCGCACCAAAGTTCGGCTCAGTGTTCGAATTCTATAACTTTCCAATGTCCATACAGGTCGGAATATTTAGACCGCACCAACTCTTTAAATGTGACAGGTGCTGTACTGCATGCTGATAACGGAATGCCCCAGCACAGTGGGCCAGAGCCAGAAGACCGGTGAGGCGGACAAAACTCTAGACGCGTTTTGAGCCGCAGGGTCACTAAATGGGACTCGACCCGAACGTGTGGCCCCACCAATGGATTGCTCTCCGAACGAGGAATCCATTGGTGGGGTCACACGTTCGGTTCGAGTCCCATTCAGCGACTCTGGAGCTCAAAACGCGTCTAGAGTTTTGGCCGCCTCCACCGGTCTTCTGGCCCACTGTGCGCGGGCCGCACCTTGTTGAAGGTGGCGAAGGCGATGTGCTTCTTGCCATGGCTCAGGAACTGCGACCCCTCCGCGTCGACCTCGCTCCACGTGCTGCCCAGTGGCGGCGCCTCGGTGCCCGCCATGCCCGCCATGCCCGCCATCCTCGAGTCTTGTCACTCTCAAATTTGCCTCAAAAACATGCCATAATCGTGCCGAAAAGTTGTGCCGCCAGTTCGCGCGCGGGAGTGTCCGGGGGTTTTAAAAAGAAAGGGAACATGGTTTTTCTTAAATCATGTTTGAATTTTGAGCGCGACTGGGCGCGCGGCTGCGCGTGGCTCGGGAAAAATTAACAATGCAACTTGCTGGGGCCGTTACCCGCTTTCCCGCCCGCCGGGCGTCTCGTTTTGTTTTGCGCTGTCGTGGATTTCATTCATTTCCATTCATTTCACTTCCCACTTCCACCGCTTTTCGCGTGCGGGTAGGCTTTACAGTGAGGCATTCCCTTCGTCCTAGCCGTACGCCGCACAGTGGGCCAGAAGACCGATGGTGGCGAAATCCATTGGTGGGAGTCACACGTTCGGCTCGAGTCCCATTTAGCGACTCTGGAGAACGCGTCTTGAGTTTTGGCCGCCTCCACCGGTGTTCTGGCCCACTGTGCGCCGTGCTTGAAACTGCCGCGCGCCCCGCCGCCCCGCCGTGCGCGCAGCGTGCAGCGCCATCTGTCGGGGCGGCCGGCAACCAACGGTAAAAACAGGCTTACCATAACAAAGGTGTCGGAGAGCAGACGCCAAGCCGCTGCCGCTGCATTTTGAATTGAAAGATTTTTGTTGATTCGTAGAACGTTGAAGTCTGATAGTACGGCACCCAGGACGACCCACAACGTGGCAATGAGAGCTTCCATCCAGCTGCTGTCAAGCTAACCTGCTGGTTATTCGTATGCCGTTCATTTTTCAAAGGATCAGCTGAAGTTAGAACCGACACAGTCGCCCATAACCATGTATAGTTTACCTTTAACTTATTTCATTAGTAAGTATTCTTTACTTTATCGATATAAATGACTTTTTCTTCATTTGAATACTTGGTAATGAATTTTGTCTGGTGTTTCAGGTCTTTGCGAGAAAGTTCTCAATCTACTGACCGGGGAAGATGATTTTTGGGAAATGGTTAATACCATTTATCATTTGTGTATTGTTTCTTCATGTTTCTTCTTGTGTAGATTTATTTATTTAGTTCACAAAACTTCCAATAATGTTGTTAAAATTTGGCCTAAGCAACCTAAAGATAAAAGTGTTAGTACAATGATTGTAATAGGTTCTGGCGGTCACACTACTGAGATGCTCCGTTTAATGAGAGTTATGACACCCCACCTTTATTGTCCGAGGACATACGTCATGGCCTCAAGTGACAAGACAAGTGAATTTAAAGTGCATGTTGTTGAGGAACATCTTGCCACCAAAGCCAGCAAGAAATATAGAAAGTATTCTATCTTTAAAATTCCTCGAAGTAGAGATGTTGGCCAATCTTTCATCACGTCCTTTGTTTCCACTGTGTATTCATTCTTGAGATGTTTGCCTATGATGCTTTATCATAGACCAGAGTTGGTGTTGTGTAATGGCCCAGGCACCTGTATTCCAATTTGTATTATAGCTTTTGTGCTGCGAACCTTGTTTTTGAGCAACACTATGATTATTTTTATAGAAAGTGTTTGTCGAGTGGACAGCCTCTCTATGACAGGCAAAATTCTCTATTATTTTGCTGATGTTTTCCTTGTTCAGTGGCCAGATCTTGAACAGAAATACAGCCGAACTGCATATGTAGGAAGAGTGTAATATTAATTGTCTGCTCAATGGAAACTTGACAAAGCTCTGCAAGTGCTTCAACTTCTGAGGCGAGTAGTACCTTGATATTCTGTCAGATTGTCTTAATACGTCCCTTCATTTTTTACTTCAGTAGAAACTAATGTAAAAGAATGGACGGCATTCTTTGATCATCCCAGGTATAAATCAATACCAAAGATAAGTGAAAAATTAAACTTTAGCCACCAATTGTCTTACAAATGTGGTATTAGTCATTTAAGAAATTTTTTACTCTTTTGTACTTTTAGTCCTTCTGGACATGTGATTTTAGTAAGCTGTGCTATGTGTAACTTTTCTCCAATTAGCGTTATTGGAAATTGTGGATCAACAATTGCTAATGGATTGTTGATGTTATGTACATATCATCTGAGGTGACAAATGCTACCACCAGCATATCTAGTCCACATTTGTCTTTACTTATAGATAAGCAATTCAACAACTGAAAATGTAATGGTACAGATTAAAATCAGGGCAAAACCAAACTTATTTTATGTTATTTGACAAACCTGAAGAATATTGTGCAGAAGCATTTCCCGATGACTCCAGACTATTTCGAGAACCAATTCAGCCTTTTACTGTGTTTTCCTGCTGAGGATGTAAATATTTTCCTCGTTTACCTCGTTTACCTCTCTAACAAAAACAATAAAAACAACGGTGGCTGCGAGCGCATAAGGCAGCGGCCGGCCTGTTAAAGGACGTGGGTTTGACCCCAAGGCGTTACAAATTTGTGCTGTCTTGTTTTGCCCGTCGTCCCTGTGACGTGCCAAAGGGGTGGTCTACCTTCCCGGCGCTGTGCGACAGTAGGGATAAAAAATTTAGAAGTAAAGAATGGCAATGAGGAAAAGAAACCCGGGAATCGTACCTAGAATTTTATATGTGAATCGACGCCTATGCTCCGTCAGCCATCCCGTCCGTGCTGAAAAGTTCCGAGTGGCGCTATCAATCATAGTGTGGTGGTACTTGTGATGTCACGGCCCGAGTAGGTTTCGGAGGCACTTCCGCGCTTCCGCTGGCCGCTGCGATGCAGCCGTTCTCTCGCGGTGGCAGCTCCGCTCGCCGTTTTGACTTGTCTGCCAGCAGATTTCTTTTCAAGTTACTGATCGGTCGCGATTGGTCGCTTCCAAGTTGGACACTCTACCCCTTGGAGAGTTCAGCTGCAGACTTCGGCAGTGGTGCTAGCGTCCGAGTTGGTGCTTCCCTCTGCCTTCAGCTAGCCCCCGCAAGGTGGCGCTGTACTTATTTTTGTTCAGGTCCGCTCGCGGGTTCACTGTCTTTCCCTGATTTGATTTCTTGCAAATCACCTTTCACCCCCTCCCCTTTTCGACCAACAATATGGGAGCGCTGACCGCTGCACTGGTCTAACCTAACCTTCACCAGATTTTCCGCCGGCGGCCCGGAAATCGACGAAAAACAGCGAAAAAAGCACTTTTAGGAGAAATGGAGGCCCCTGATTGGTCGAAACCAGTCACGTGACCGGTCACGTGATCAAAATTTCGATCGCCAGCCAGATCCCTTGAGAAACCCCCACGGAAGGCTCGGCTGGGTGGGTTCGGCTGCCGCCGGGGACCTCTGAGACAGTCACTACGGAGGAGAGTCGATCCATGACGAGAGGGAAGGACCATGATGGGAGTGGATGGTCGTTGACTAGTCAAATCAGCGAGCGTGGCTGCCACCGCGAGCGAACGGGAACCCAGAGTGCGTGGCGTTCCCTTACGGAATGCGTTAGCTGAGGAGACCTGTCACTGTGGACTCGGACACTATGCCGCAAACCAACAGATGGCGCTGAGATGCCCAAAAATATTTGAAGAGAGTCACTCTGACCGTGCCGTTGTCGGCGGTTAGAAACGGATTATGCTGGCAGACTAGTCAAAGCGGCGAGAGACACTGCCCGCGCGAGAGAGCGCTCGGCCGGAGCATTTGAAACACAGTGCCACCATGGTGCCACAGTGAGAGTGATCACACACGGGTGGCAGTGAACAGGGTAGAGATATCGGGGAACTAAGGAAAATGCTGTCAGGCTTTGGGAGTTGTACCCAGAAAAGTAAATAACACACATTTCTAGACAAATCATTTTTTTTCTTGTTTATTTTGAAACTGGTATGATTGCAATAAGAAAAAATAGCATGGAGCTTCTTTCATTCAAATTCATTTAAAATTATGACGTGCCACACACAATACATAAGATAGAGTTTGTTTAAACCACATGATTGCAATAGCTTTTAACAAGAGATATAATAGTTGAAAGGAATGTTGTTTGCAAGATCACTCTACGATGCAAAGCTTACAATAAATTTAATAAGCAGAAATTGTAACACCATTTTAAATTTGAAATTCGTCTTGTCTGTGTCACAATATTTTAAAAAAGATAAACGACTAATGAGTTAAGATTACAATCCATACAAAAATATTAATGCATTCTAGATACATCCTTTCAAACTCTTCTTAAGTCACAAGTCTTTAACAGAAGTAGCACAATGCATTTCCTTACGTGTACAGTAACATCAACTGAGGAAATGACTGAGTTTTGACTCAGAGGCACAATATTAACTTATGAGCTTCTCATTCTCCTTCGTTATTCCTGTACAATAACATATGGCATCTCTCATTAATACAATGATAGCAACATCGCAGAAAAATGTCACTACACAATAACAGTTACAACAGACCATAAAATCTACACAACACTGAACACCTGTCAACAAAGGCTCCCACCAGCGGAAGCCTGGACAGCTTAAAAGAGAATATTTCGCACTGTACTTAACTTTATAAAAGTTATATACTGCAAATTCATACTATATTTTGCATTCAACTTTATACATTTTTATAACTTTTATAAAATAAATCTTCTAAAGCAGAAAACAAACAATCAATAGGGAACAGTGTTACCGGTTTCATATCCCAACCATCGGACTGCATGATATGTTTGTTTTCAACTGTTTGCACTTGAGCCCGGCACAGCAATTCTCTACCTAGTTACTCTACAAATAATGAAACCAATTGCTACTCTTATCTCTGAGTAGTGATTACATTGGTTACTTTCATTGGCTCGGTGTATAAAGTGATTGCTGTATGACATGATCTTGATGCCAAAAGATCCAAATAAACTTTTTCCTGATTCAGCAAAGCGGAGCACAAAAGACAGCTAGATGACATTTGAAATAAACTAATACAAAATTTCAGTTACTGAAAAACAATGTCTTGACATAGTCTGACCTCTATGTTGCACTACATAGTTACATTTGTATCCCTTTCATAAAAGGCCACTTTCTTAGGTAATATAAGGTACGATGCATTCAAAATTTTAGTATGTGGCTATTATTAAAAATGCAGATTTTCTAAAATGTGCCAAAATATGATACCATAAGAAGGTCACATATTCCATAATTATGAGATCAGATAATTAGAATAAATGAGCTTAATGCAAAGCTAATTAATAATTACTCACACTTTAAATCTTATTTCTTTAAATTTTAGATGCTGCAAAATGCAACTTTTAAGTTAAGGCTTTTTGTACAGCAATTTTAAGTACACCTAGGAAATGCAGTTGAATCACAACAAACCATACTTTCGTTTTAAAATTCCACAGCATATCTTTTCTCAGTTTCACTCATATACAGTGCCCTTCAGGGAAGTAAAAGTCCCACAACAACTCTCTAATAATGAAAGAAGAGTGGGCAGCAATCTTCAGGCCATTAAACTACTCTCGATTGATAAATAATCCGTGCTCACAGGGCACACTTAAATGAAGTTCGTTCTAATCACACAGTGATCTTCTAATTTAAAATGTGTCATAATACCAACAATGAATTGCCAGAGAAACTGAATTTCATCTTATTTTTAAAACCCACATTATCACATAAGATGGGAAACTCCTAATGACTTCAAACATAGTCAAAAGTCCATCAGTTACACAGGAAACTTGCAGAACAGCCAAAAAGCAAAAGCAATATCACACTGTTTCTTAGCAAAGTTTCCTAAGGATAATGGCTTGTTAAATTGGAAGGACAAAGAAGATTTCTCAGTCTACAAAAGAGTTGATTTGTCAGATAAAATACTTCACTTGGAAGATATTAAAATCTGAATTCTGAGTATATGAAGTATCCTCAAAATGAGACCACTGGAAAGGGACTAATTTTAGAATCAGGAGACTTTACGTATCAAACAGGAAAGCAAAACACCATTTAAGATTGAAAACAAATGTCACAGTTGGTATTAGCAGTATAACACATGATTCTATTCCACCATCCTCAAAAAAACACAAAGCTTACAATGTACATGTGTGCATTTGGTACATTTCTGTTACATGGACATTTGCACTCATGAACCCAGTGAGTGTGTCTATAATGCTCTATTTCATACTATTCAGCTAAAATATAAATCTGAATTCATAAATATTTAATACTCCCAGATATTTTTCAGGTCTCACTTGTACTATAGATTGAAATCAGAATTACAAACAAACTTGACAACAATAACATCCAGTTCATAATGTACAACACGTTAAAATACAATTTACTCAAATATATGTCTATATAAATCTATATATCAATGCATATGATACAAATTATTTTCAGGATAGAATAAGAAAATTTCAACATCAGGATAAAATTTAAAAATAAACAACTGCTTGATGCTCTACAATAAGAGAAGAGCTGGTAACAAATCAACTCCAAACAATCAAGCAGTGACTGATATCATAAATGCATTTCATCCAATTCTGTGCTAAGGATTCAACTAGGCTTAGTGCGTAAAAAATATAAAATATATACAAAACTTAATGCATAAATCATTACATAAATATCCTCAAATTTCAAAGCTATAACTCTTAAGACTATGACTTACTTTAACATACTAGAAACAATAAAACTATGTAACAATCTCATTTTCAAGTAGTTTCTTTCAAATAAAAGAAATGTTTCATTCCGGATTCGCAAGAGTTCAACAAAAACAGTTGGAGTATGTCTTGAACAGTCCGTTTTTGGGACACACTCAAAATTTTAAAAATATATATTTAAAAAAAAATCAACAACAGAAATATTAAGAGGAATGTAGTCAAGACCTAATAAGATACAAGTCTTTGAGAACAAGTGAATGCCTCTCTTGAAGTCACCATATTGCTTGTCGTAAGCAACCAGTTTATCTGCAAGACAAACAAAACAATGTCATGAGAACAAAAGTACTTTGACATTTTGGGCTGAGAGAACCTTTGAATGTAATTATTTAAAAACTCACCATATTTTGAAGGCAATACAAAGGCAGTATGCAGGAAGCTACTACTTTGCTGAGCTCCTGCTGTGATGTGATGCCAAAGACCCATGTGATAAACTTTCGGAATGTCGCACAGAATTCCTTGAGCTAAAAGTAGCAGCTGCTGTAGCCAAAGCTGCCAGAGCATTTGGGTTGCCAGAGCTAGCACGAGCAGCAAGAGATTGAAGCTTGCTGAGTTGGTTGATCAACGAATCATTGCTATCCTCCAAGTTTTCAATTTTCTTTCGATAGTCAGAGTTTTCACTTTGTAAAATCTCAACTTTCCTTTCCAGGGCATCCATGTACTCCTTTTTCTTTCTACGACTTTCTTGAGCTGAGATCTAGAGAAATATTGAAAAAATCCGTTTCAATAATTTGCAAAAGCATTGACATGAGACTTTAACTATTTTCAGATTCTTAAAACTACCTTGTTCTTAATTTTTCGTCGGATTTTCTTTAAGGATTTCTCTTCTGCTTTAGTGAGAGGTAGCCGGGTAGGGATGGGATATCCTTCAGCTAAAAGGGTGCGCTTCTCCTCCTCAGTGAGTAACAGCATTCCAGTAGACCCTTTCTGTAACACACGAATACGAGACTACACAATTAAAATGTCACGTCAATGCTCAATCTCGCAGGAAATGGAAATTAATTTGCACAACCAAACTCAGTATGAGACTTCTTGGCACTTACAGGTTGGCTGCTGATGAGTGATGTCTGGATAGGTTGTCTTGTCGATGTGCTGGGAGGAGGTGAGACAAGTAGTCGGCTGCTAACTTGTGCTGACTGACGGCTTGATGGAGAGGATGGATGGTGGTCATTGCCCTCACTATCACTTGTCGTTGACGAAGGAGGAGTGGGTGGTAAAGAAAAGCCTGCACACAACAGAATTCGGTTAGGAAGTTCCGCACACACACATCCACATGGATCAGCATGGAAACCGCCTTGAACACATACCTGGTTCAACTTTGATGTTGAGCTTTGGTAAAACTGATACTCTGCTCTGTTGCACACTACTCCTTGATACAAGGACCGTCGGCTGCTTTAGTAAGCTCTGCGGGTGACTGCTGCTGGTGTGTGCAATTGTCTGCAAGCAAAAACCGCATCAGTAACGACAGCTCAGGAGCAAGCAGGTAGCCAAGAGGCAGCCCACTTGCTGACCATGGTACCTATTGGTCATGGGACCCATGCACAGTGTTCCAAAAGACGCCGGCGGCAAAAACTCTAGACGCGTTTTCAGCTCCAGAGTCGCTAAATGGGACTCGAACCGATCGTGTGACCCCACCAATGGACTCCTCGTTCGGAGAGCAATCCATTGGTGGGGTCACACGTTCGGTTCGAGTCCCATTCAGCGACTCTGGAGCTGAAAACGCGTCTAGAGTTTTGCCGCCGCCACCGGTCTTCTGGCGCACTGGTAGCGACCTAGCCCAACCCACCTTGTGCTCCTGGAAGGACGGAGGCGGCGATCCCGGCGACATGGGGCAGGACGACTCCGGGGACGAGGGCTCGCTCTCGCTCATGGGCTCGTCCTTGACGGTGATGGACACGTCGGAGGACTCGGAGTCGGGCCGCGTCCTGGTGGCGTTCTTCATCGGGATGCAGGGGTAGCACTCCTCCTCCATGTCTGCAACAGCAAGCACACGAAGTTGTAGTCATTCACTCGGCAGCAATCCATTTCCTTCTCACCGTCACTCTTTGCACGGTGGCCGTGCAGCAGCAGCAGACTGATTCCGAGAGTCGTTTTCGTCGCTCTGTCTCTCTCGCACCTGTGCGCAACGCCCCATGAGTGCGAGAGAGACAGAGCGATGAGAACGACTCTCGGAATCAGTCTGCAGGCTGATTCCAAAGTGTTGTCGCGCTGTCTCTCTCGCACTCACGGGGCGTTGCGTACAGGTGCGAGAGAGACAGCGACTGGAGGCGCCAGGTACGTCAACGAGGCACTCCCCCGCCTTTCCCCACGCCTGCCGACGGATTCCGAGAGTCCGAGAGGCGTTTTCGTCGCTCTGTCTCTCTCGCACCGACACGGGAAGCCTCGTGAGTGCGAGAGAGACAGAGCGACGAACACGAATCGCGGCTCGGGCAAGGCAGGGGAGGGAAGGCTCCGCATGGCGTCTTTCAGCAGACTGATTCCGAGAGGGGCCGTTTTCGTCGCTCTGTCTCTCTCGCACCGATGGGGAACGCCCCGTGAGTGCGAGAGAGACAGCGGCATCCGTCTGCTGGATTAGCGGCGGAGAAACTAATCGTTCGACGCCACGGCGCGCCACGGCGTGGAGTGCCGCCCGCACTCGATTACCCGGTGCCGGTGGGCTGCGCAGCTCGGCGACGAGGACTTTCCCGTCGGCACGGGACAAACCCCGCCAGAAGCCCGAGACACGACCCCGGGGCACGCCCGGCAAGGACATCGAGTGTCCTAGCAAGGACTGCCAGAGAACCGGCGGCTAAAACTCTAGACGCGTTTTGAGCTCCAGAGTCGCTAAATGGAACTCGAACCGAACGTGTGACCCCACCAATGGATCCCTCGTTCGGAGAGCAATCCATTGGTGGGGTCACTCGCTCGGTTCGAGCCCTGTTTAGCGACTCTGGAGCTCAAAACGCGTCCAGAGTTTTCGGTCGCCCCCGCGGGTCAAAATAATCAGAGCCACGCTAAAAAATAAAAAAATAAACGCGATTTTTATTTGCAAAAAAACCAAAAATTTTGGTCATTTTTTTAATTTAGTAAAAATTTTTGTCGGTGAGTTGTAACGCGGTTTTGATTCAGCCGAGGCACCGTACCGTTTCCCGGGCATCGCGTGCCAGTCGCGTGCGAGGCCCGCCACGCTAGACAGCGCCACGCTAGACCGCGCCACGCTAGACAGGCTCGGGCCGCGCTCGGGCCAGACAGCACAGCAGCACTAGACTTGCGGCTAAATGCTGTACGCAGCGACCCAGCGACGCAGCAGCAAACCGTATTAGTTCGTTAGTTGCGCGTGCTGGCCGAGGCGGGGCGGGGTGGGGCGGGGTGGGTCATCAACCCGCGCCAAGACGCAATGAGTCGCTGGAGAAATAGAGCAGGGCCCCGCCCCGCCCCGCCGCCCAACCGGGCATTCCAATAGGCAAGATCAAGTCTGCGCGCGTCAAGGAATCAAGGATCCCCCAGTGTGCCAGTGTTTTCGGCTTTTCGGCGCGCCCCTCGCAGACAATATCAGGCCCGGACTGGCCAGGGCATTTGGGCAGAAAAATATGCCGGGGCCCCGGCGTGCCGGGGCCCCCCAACTTACAGTTGCGAGGCCTCTGTGGCCGCTGGGCCACAGAATCGACCCGAAATACCTTTAATTCGTAGTACTGCCCCTTTACAAACTGGCAGGTATTGCATTTTGAACACACAATAGGCCTTAGCTTTTTGCTCGCTTCGCTCGCATAGTAATGCGGAATCGCGTGAAACAAGTCTATCATCAGCTCGATGAGTTCCTAGCAGGTCCAGGTCAGTTCCTGAAAAACTTGCAACAATGTTTTAGTTTGCTGTGAACCAGCTTACTGAAAATTATTGCATGTTCCCGTTTTTCAGGAGAAAATTTAAATTGCATTAGAAAAAATTTGAAGCTCGCTTCGCTCGCAGTTTCCGCTGCTAATGTTTTTGCTGCAAGCATCAGAAACAATCCCTGGGTAATTATATCATTTCTACGATTTCAAAAGTCAGGGAAAATCACATAGTTGTCGTGGACCGAGGGGGGGGGGGGGGAACAGGGGCCCCTATGACAACTTTCTGCCGGGGCCCTTTATGAGCCAGTCCGGCCCTGGACAATATCCATTCAATCAATTTAACAAGCTCGCTTTTTGGAAGCGGAATGGAATGGCCACTCCTAGCCACTCCTAGACTGAGAGTCACTTTCGTCGCTCTGTCTCTCTCCCACCTACACGAGACGCCCCAGGTGTGCGAGAGAGGCAGTCTCTCGGAATCAGTCTGCAAGAAGATATAATGAGAGCGCCCTGGAGAAGAGTGTCTGACGCAGTCCCACACCGCGGCGCTTCACAGTGGGCCAGAAGACCGGTGGAGGCGGCCAAAACTCTAGACGCGTTTTGGGCACCAGAGTCGCTAAGCAGGACTCGACCCGAACGTGTGACCCCACCAATGGATTCCTCGTTCGGAGAGCAACCCATTGGTGGGGTCACACGACGTTCGGTTCGAGTCCTGCTTACCGACTCTGGAGCTCAAAACGCGTCTGGAGTTTAGGCCGCCTCCACCGGTCTTCTGGCCCACTGTGCGCTCCGCGGGCAGGGCCGGGCGTGGCGAGGGGTCGGTGCTCGCCGAAGTCTAGTTGTGTCTCTCTCTCTCTCCGCAGTGGGCGCGTGGGCGCGGGTCGGGTCGGCCGTCTCGCGAGGGCCAGCAGGCGGATTTCGAGAGTCCTTTTCATCGCTCTGTCTCTCTCGCACTCATGGGGCGCCCCTTATAGGTGCGAGAGAGACAGAGCAGTGAGAAAGACTCTCTCGGAATCAGTCTGCAGGCCCGCCCCCGTTCTTTGGGGCACCGCGGTGGCGCGCCACTGCCGCGCACATTTAGCATTTAGCACCGCGCCGTCGCGTTTTTTGAAATTCGCAGCGGGACGTGTCTGTGTGAGTGAGTGAGTGAGTGAGTGAGTGAGAGAGAGAGAGAGAGAGAGAGAGAGAGAGAGAGAGAGAGAGAGAGAGGCGGCACGGAAAGCGGCCAAAGGCAGGCAAAGGCGATGACATCGACAAGTAGAGCCGGCCGCCGACTGCAGCCCGTTCCGAACAGCGCCTCCGTCGCTCTGTCTCTCTCGCACTCACGGGGCGTACCGTAAGGGTGCGAGAGAGACAGAGCGACGCACCATTGTTCGGAACGAGACTATGGCCGCTGACACGGCGGCAAGAAAACTGCTGCTTCTGAGTGAATTCTGCCCACCCTGCCCAGCCGGGTAAGCCCCTCCGCCCCCGCCACCGCCCGGCGGCACCCTTTTCCCATTTCCCCCTTCTGCAAGCAGACTGATTCCGAGAGTCGTTTTCGTCGCTCTGTCTCCCTCGCACCTGTACGGGACGCCCCATGGGTGCGAGAGAGACAGAGCGACGAAAACGACTCTCGGAATCAGTCTGCTTGCAGTATGGCCGATGCGGTCAGCGA